ACTCAAATTTCAGAAGAACCAAGTAAGTACTTTCCAATCACTAAATTTATTTACAATAAGTGATTGGATTGTATCAATAAGTGTACCGACACTAACTATTAGAATCAACTGCATCACCATTGGAATGCCATAAACCAACCATGCAGGAACAAACCCACTACGAAAATCCACTATGTCCCTCTATCAACTGGTTGCTAAACTTTTTCCCAATATGCTTCCACAAGCAATTGACTCATCACGACCTTGGAAAATACAATGGCATTCCCCATTAACCTGCCCGATCAAAATTTTCAGCTCTTTCCAAAGTTCAACATACTTTACTAACCCCAAAATCAAACAATCGCCTACACTACAAAATCGGTTAAACCCTAAAGTTCGTAAACACTAGCGCAATCAATTCCCAGTGAACGAACTACAGAACTTACAGAAGATAGAGGTATCCGAGGGAGTGGATTGACGGGTCAAGCTGGTCGAGGAAAGGCAGCAAGCGAGCGGACTCGCCGCGGAGAGCTTCGTCTACTTTGTTCAAGTGTGCGTGAAGCGCAACCACATCGTTCGGGCTTCCAGACAGCCCCTGAATCTGCGTTACGAGAGTTTCCACCGCGTTCATCGTCACCGTCGTAGTTGTCGTCGGCGGTGGCGGTTCGGAGATTTCTGCCTTTCGCTTCCGATCAACCAGAGTTTGTTGCTCCTCCTCAGTCTTCCGCTTTCCTGCTTCCATCTGCTGCCCTTCTTCAAAAACTGGGCGACAAAAAGGCCAAAAAGGAGGCGGTGGCTTTTATTGGGCCGAGAAAAGCACGGAACAAAGCTGCCCATGGTGCAGAAGCAGGGCCCTTCAAGAAGCCCACAGTTGTTTTTTCCTCGTAAAGGCCCAGTCGAATAGGACGAAAAAATACGAGCGACACAGTCCATCTTGCAGAGGCCTTGTAAAAACCCACTAGCTTATTACCCGGCCCGTTGGCCGGATTACTGTATGTTACCCACTTGTGGAATGGGAGAGAAAGCAAGTGAGAGTGAAGGGATTGAGATTCCCCTTGATTAGGACCGACCCACTAATCCGATTCTTCCCGACCCGCCCCAACCTAAAGGGTCAGAAAGAGTCAATAAGAAAATATGAACGGAGAGGATTGGTCATATATCTTGACTCTTCAGAAGTGGGTGAAACAGGATCAAGGTTGGGTGAGGGCAATTTTTAGCGCTAATCAGAGTTATGGGTTGAATAACTTTACTTAGGCCTAGAAATTGATGCTGATGCAGACTGCAGTTTTTATTATACCATCATGAATCATCATTGAATTAGTCCTAGGCATCCCTCCCCGTTGTCGGTCTGGATTTTAATGATGGCTTCGTTCCTTGCACCAGCCATATCAGCGAGTTGTCATCTCGAGCATGAGTGAATTGGTGACTCTAATTGCTTTTCTACATCATCTAGTTACCATTTAGTAATTTCTTTGGTGAACTCTAGCATCAACCCATTCCCTAGTGATCGGTAGTCCCGTTTAGTTAGCTTGAATACAAAGTTCTCAAACTCATACACATATTGCTCCTGTAGTTGGTGATCAAATTGGTTGATTAATATGAAATTTTACGTCAACATAAATTGAGCCAAATTTGTAAATTATCCAGGACATGTATCTATCCAATTGAATATTTGACGAAGTCATCACTCGCGAAAAAATCTCATGTATAAAAATATATTATAGATAAATTAAAATTGGTGTGTTTTAACTTTTAAAATCGTTCGTACTTTCAAAATTAGTTGTCTTTGGAAAATAATCTCATGTATAAAAATATTTTTTTGAAAAATCAAAATTGGCCTGTTTTAACTTTTAAAACCGTCCGTACTTTCAAAATTAATTGTCGTTTGGAAAACTTGCAAAGTTGGAAAATTCAAATGCACTGAATCTATATAATCATAACTGGGAAAGAGTGATAAACGACAAAACAAATACACAATAACATATCCAATCTAGGATCCGGCCTCATAATATCAACATTGAAAAGGAGTTCAATGCTTTTTTGCTAACAGACACCAAAAAAATCATGACAAAACATGATTTTCAGTACATGATTGTTCACAAAAAGATTCTAAGCATCCAAGAAAATGGGACTGAGCTTATCAGTTTTCTATCTCCTTATCTAAAGTCATTGAGTATAACTAATGAGATAGCATTAATTTCACACGAAGCCCGGCCTGTTGGCCGATAGAGAGTATTTAAATTAAATCTTGGTCAAAAGAGGCTACTATTTAAAACCTGCAGTGAATATAGGAAAGTCAAGATGCCTGAACAATCGACCTCATAATATATATTGTTGCTATGTATGCAGGGTTTAAAAGAAGAGCTATTTATTTACGTAGTCAGTGAATAATGACATGGGAATTGCTTCCCGTAATATATTCACAATCAATCTTAGAAAAGAAGGGCTATCAAACTCCCCTAATAAATTTAGAATTGAAATAAAAATGCAAGTCTAAATCCATTAACAAAAAGGTTATTCACGACCAAGGTTGTCAAACCGGTTTATGCCAGTGTGCCGGTTTAGCAAGTGGAATGGTTCAACCGGTGGCACATACCGGTTTGTGTCGGTTCATGCCGGTCAATATTTCAAATAAAATTATAAATACTCATATTTAAACATGACATTTAACGACAATACCTAAATATTTATACTTGAATCCAACAAATAACATCAATATTTAACTTTTATACTCATAAAATAAATAATAAAATAATTTTATCAATTAAATTCTCTAAAATAAGGTCATTTTACTTAGATATTCGTATATCGATCATGCCGGTCATACCAGTGGTGTCACGCCGGTTTTATGACCGGTACCGGTTGAACCCGGTACAACCGGTGGCACGCCGGCCGGCGTGACAACCATGTTCACGACCAAACACATCTAGGAAAGCATCCTTCTTCTACCAACCACTAATTTGTCCAATGGGTGTAGGACCACTCCTGCTAATAAAAACATAGAAAAGAAACTAAAATCACCCACCAATGGAACATGAAATATTAAAGCTTCATTATTCATGATCAGTTCATGCTTTCTTTTGAGATTGTCCTGTGGAGTGCCAGCAGTTGGAATCACATTATTTGGGGGCATGCTCTTAGTAGCATTTGAGGCTTCTGCCTCTGCGAGCTCACCCTCCCTGGCAGCATGTGGTGAACTGTGAGGAGACACCCTCCAGATACTACTACACATAAGAACAACGAACATCAACATCAGTAGGTGAATCGAGGCAGATGCTCAGTTATGTGATAGGGTGTAAAAAAGTAACAAAACAATTAGACAAAAGTGGAAGGAACTTTATGTTCTACTGTGGTTTATTGTTTTACTGTACATATGGCAAGGCTGGATTGAAACCCAGTATAAGCTGATCGATCACATAACTAAATACATTGAACGAATTGAATTAAGCCAAGGAATGTGGGAGAGACTCATGAGGTCGCTGCAAGTCCCCCTGAAAAGTATAAGAGAAAAGTTCAAACCAAATAGATAGCAAATCAAGGGTTGATAATGGTTATCTATACTACTCAATAACTAATCAAGGGTCCATAATGGTTGTTCAATTCCCTATTCTACAAAGAAGATGCTATGGATAAGAAGCTAGAGTCCAGTCCCACAACGATACAGAAGAACATAATGTCTAAGTGAGCAAAACAAACGTGTGACAACAGAGAGTATTGGCAACAAAAAAAACCTATAGAGAAGCCAATTAGTCCAATCTGGTTTCTTAGATTTATCACTGGAGAGGGCTAACAGGAATTTGGGTCTCCTAACTCACTTCATTGATAGAATGCAATGAAATTAAAGAAGTCAAGCTCAGTAGGATTTCATATATTGAGGACCAGTTCACTCACCTGGCCAATGCATGAAATTGTGGTTCTTTGACTCACCGAGTGATAGAAACCCGGATTTAAAACATCACTCCAAACCCCACGAAGACTGTGAGAGGAGGAAGGTCGGTGCGGCAAAGGGGAGTCGACGATGAATGTCAGAGAACCGAAAGGGTTTCTTCCGACTGCTGGAAACGCTAATTCTCTTCATGGATCGGTGCGGCAAGGGGGAGTCGACGATGACTCCACATATAGCTACTCATAAAAATAACGAACATCAACATCATTAGGTGAATACTCATTCAAGAATATAAGAAAAAGACTCTACAAATAAAAGAAAAGATAAACTGGACAGAGGGAAAAGAAGCAACCAGACCATTCCGAATAAAGATCAACAATTCGAAACTCCCTTTCAAGCACCATCATCGGCGCTTCCATCTCTGCGCACTCGCCGCCGTCGTCACCAGTCTAACCTCGCCGCTAAAGCCTTCAGATCCCGGCGTCAACACCATTTGTCTCGAGGCAGGCCAAGATCTGGATCTCCCGCCGATATCGCGATCTGCTCACGAAGGTGGTCAACCCTGGAGTCCCGCAGCTCCGCCAGTCCTCTACGTTCAAAACCGTTGCCTGTTGCTCCTCACCGCCCGAGTCCATATCTCCCCATCTACCGCTACGGATCGAGCGAGTTCTGCTTGGGGTCGCAGAATAGAGATCGCTCTCTGCCTCACCTAGCAGCGGTCCTCGTTGCCGTCGCAGATCGGAAAATGAGTGTTGAGCTTTCGTCCAGAGAAGGCGATAGAATGGTGGGGAGGAGCTTCGTCGGGAAAAAGATGTGTTGTTCGGTCATTGCTGCAAACTGCCGACTGTGCCCTGTTGGGTTGGTTGTACTATTAGTGGGCCGAAACAGCTGTTTGGGCCCGTTAAATACTGCTGCCGCGTTCCACTTCAGCGCGGAAGAAACTTCATGTTTCCAAAATTACCCCTCCGAGAAACGCTCCGGAGGCAGCAAATTCAAAATGGAGGTTCAGTTTTAGGCTTCAGCGTATTATATATAGGGTAGATTCTAGTTGTTCCTCGTAAGGCCCATTTGTTGTTTCTGGAGACTAGGCCTGGGCCATTGCCGCCACCGTGGCGCGGTCGTGAAAGGGGAGGATTGAAAATTCATTTTGCACAGTTTTTAGTTTTTACAGATCGGAATCGGTAGGAAAGGAAAGCGAATAGAAGAAGGCGAAGAACAGAAGCTTCCAGCTTTGTGAAAATGGCGGACTACCACTTTGTGTACAAGGACGTAGAGGGAGCGTCGACTCAGTGGGATGATATTCAGAGGAAGCTAGGGAATTTGCCCGAGAAGCCGCCGGCGTTCAAGCCGGCGCCTTTTACTCCGGCTCCGGATGGAGATTCGATCCCTAAGGATAAGGCGTGGATCGACGAGAAGAACGAAGATGAGCTCGAGGAGCTCGAAGATGATCTCGACGACGATCGCTTCCTGGAAGAATACAGGTTTTTTTGTTCAGCTGCTTTCTGTAATTCAAGTTGTTCCGGTGGATAATTTTTTGCTGAATCCTGAATCTACCTTTTACTGGCGGTTTGGTTACTTCCTTTTGTTTTGGTTACTGAGAAAATTGACTAGAGAAAGGAGAGTATGGTTTGTTCTGAGTGAAATTTGGTTGATATTATCATCTCCATGGAACTAAGTTTACTGAAATGGACTAATGGAGTGCTCTCACTGGCATGTTCTTACTGTTTGTTGATTGCTCATTTGAAGCTGGAGCAGATGACTTGCTGGTTTTTTATGGATTTCTTGGTATCGAGAATTGCTCATTTGATGCTGAAGTAGATGACTTATGATCATTTTGCTTATCGACTTTCTAGGAATTCCATGCTGGTTCTGATAAAAAAAATGTGATGTTAGGAAGAAGAGGCTGGCTGAGATGAAAGAAACAGTTAAAATTGCGAAGTTCGGATCAGTGGTCCCTATCTCGGGCTCCGATTTCGTAAGAGAGGTGTCACAAGCGCCTCCTGAAGTTTGGGTTGTGGTGCTCCTCTACAAGGATGGGTATTTCGCTTCAGCCATTGAGTTTCATGGTGTCTTTGAAAGTTTTGCTACCATGGTTTGTCTCTTACGCCTTTTTGCTTCCCTCGAATTTGCTTGTAGGTACCAAGAATGTGGGGTCTTACTTCGTTGCCTGGAAGAATTGGCAACGAAATACCCTGCCACGAAGTTTGTTAAGATCATTTCTACTGACTGCATACCCAATTACCCAGACAGGAATCTCCCAACTCTTTTGGTCTACAACAATAGTGCTGTGAAAGCAAACTATGTAGGCTTAAGAAGCTTTGGCAGGAGATGTACCCCTGAAAGTAAGTTCTGTATTTAGCATTTTGCAAGCTCTCTACGTGGTGTTTTACTGGCGAAAATGAACTGTAGTTGTCTTGTCAATCATTAATTGCGGTCCAGATTATCTTGACACGTATGAACTTTGTCTTTTAGGTGTTGCACTGGTTCTGTGCCAGTCGGATCCAGTGCTAAACGATGGCCAGAATGGAAGCGACACTTCGAGCCAAGCTGTGATGGATGGTGTTAGGAGGCGGATCCTCGAGAGGGTTGTGAAGGACCATGAAGAACGTGGTGATGGTTATTCGAGTGATTAGTTTGTAGGAAGCTTCTTTTGATAGGTCTGACGAAGGAAAGTAGAGTACTCGTTAAAGGCTTGGCTAGTGTGTGGAATGCAGGAGCCGTTTTGGTTTCTGTTCCTTTTGTGTTCCATTTGTGATTTCCCTGAATGTGTGAGTGTGTACAACGCTTTGATTTTTTTCTTCCAGAAGTGCTTTAGCTACACTTGTTGTTCTTGTAGAACAGCACAGCATGATTCTGGACGATTAGTGTTTTGAAACGCTTAAAGATCCTAATGAACAAGCACTCAAAAATACAAAATTTATGTGGCTGGATAAGTAAGCATTCAGTTCATGGAACCATATTTCTCTTGTATGTGTTACAGAGTGAGGTAAATAGTAACCAATATGCAGAAACGTTAACTTGCGCTCCTATTTTAAGCACAAAACCCCCTTGGGATATCCCACAAACAGAAGTCCTTTTCAAAGGAAAAGCAAAACACAGGCATTGGACGAGGGATCTCTTGAAGAGCTTGCTGATCAGCGAGAATGGTTTATTAATGGATGTTTCTCATGCGCTCTCTTCCTCTTCAACTTCTTTCTTTTTATTTTTCCTGGTGTCACTGCCGCCCTGAGCTTGCATCTCAGCCTTCTTCTGCGCTCGAACCATGGCTCGTCTAGCACGAGGTCGCATTTCTCGAACTGTCCTGGGAGGCATCACGTATGGTTCAATGGGCCGATCACCAAAGGGGTGCTCACCGTCAGCAAAAATCCTCAGCTTTCTATCCCGGTCCTGCATTCACGACAAAAAATTGTGACATGAGATATCAACCATAGATATGTAAATTAGTATATATTTGCAAACAAGTTCCGAAGAGATTCATGTCTTCCATGTCCTGATTCAGCACAGAAGAAAGTAACACCTGACAATCAAGAATGTTTTAAGACTTCCAACGGAATTTTGAGATGGATCCATCCAAATCTCCACGTCAAACTTCGCAAATAGTTGACATATGGACTGTTCTTCACTCAACCCTGTGAGCACACTAATTTTCAGCCTATGCTGAAACTGTCACTAATGCAGTACAGCAGTCAAAGTACTAAGAGCAGTGACCAGAACCAGTATGAACAGAACAATACAAAATGCATCCTTAAAGGGGAAGAGAGAAATAACAGCTGTCTGATTTAACACTCACATCACGCAATTTATTTCTTGGGAGCATACGCATAACAGCTTTGCGAATGACTTCTGTTGGGTCCTTGGCCATTTGGTCTTTCAAAGTCCTTTCCTTGAGGTGCCCAATATAGCTGCACCAAGAGTGATGGCACACAGTCAATCACTAGTGAGAAAGGGGTGCTATGGAATGCTATACAAGAGACTTCAGAGAGATACGAGAAAATAAGGGTCATCTACTTCAGCAAAAGCTAGAAGAACAATTCCATCATTTTACTGGACCAGATAAATAAAATGAAAGCAGATACTTGCCCTGTATGCCAGTAATAGACCTTATCGGTCATTTTTCTCCCTGTAACCGATATATCCTTGGCATTAATCACAATGCACATATCTCCATCATCACGGTTGGGTGCATAAGTTGGCTTGTCCTTGCCTTGCAGAACAATGGATAGCTGAGATGCTAACCGGCCAAGTACCTATAGAAAAGAAAGTGGCTTAATGTTATCTTACCCTTACTTGGATAAACTAGGAAGAGCATTTGATACATCAAATAGTACTTAATCAGTGCAGGCTCAGCCTATAAGGTAAAGACATCAAATTGAAAGACAAATCATGAATTCCACCTGGCCTTTCGCATCAAATACTCTCCACCGCAGACCATCGAGGTTGATCCGTTTAATGCCAGCAAGTGCTTTCTGCCAGTATGGCAACCAAAAAAGCACCAGAATTAGAAAATGCCACCCACAAGTAATCAGAATGTGCACAATCGATTTCCATGATGATAAAATCACAGCAAGGATAACCATCCTAAATTCCTAATCACTAAAGTCCACATGCGATCATCCATTCAAATCCGAATTACAATGAAACAGCAAACGCACAATTCGTCCAGAACTTTCAACAAACAGTTGGCGAGCTCACTAGCGCTCCAATTCCCGGTAAAGTGGAATTAGCTTCGGGGCCAAATTCGAAGGAGAGTGAAAACTGGGGAAAGGCTTGTTGATGGAAAATCTAAAGGAAGTACCTTTACGTTGCCACTGAAAGCTGTTGCTGCCTGGGTTGCCATTCTGTTGATCTTAATATCAAATCGTCCCTTCTGCTTCCTCACGCACAAAGCATCCACCACCCAAAACGAACCAACAAAAAGGAAGGCGTAAAAAGTAGTGAGCAATTCCAGCAAGCGTTTTCCTTTCACCCCGAAGGCGAAGGGCAATGGAAGGAAGACCCGCGAATGGGGTTTAAGATCGAGACTTCCGATTCGGAGAACAATAGGGTTTTGGGGAGAGCGATGGAGAGACTCCGAAATGGAAGGAGGAAAGTTTTCAGATTCTGTCTGCAAGTCGTGACTGGGCCTTTAAACCCAATAAATCGGGCCCGCGATAGCTTCGAATAGGCCGGAGCCCAAAAAATGAACTAAACAAAGATTCAGACCATAAAACTTAAATTATAATAATGCGGTGAGCGTGGATCGAACACGCGACCTTCAGATCTTCAGTCTGACGCTCTCCCAACTGAGCTATCCCCGCTTGTTGTTTAATTTTATTTTCATGTTATATTATACAGAATTGGCATCTAACAAGGCAACAAAGCCACATTATTGAAGACATGAAATGATAATGTAGAATGCAACAAGAGGTTAAGAAAGTTGAACTGTAGAAGTAATCAAGAATATCAATATACTAGCTGCATACATTCATAAATGTTTTCATGTATCATTTACAGAAACAAGCTACATCCTGGATTCCTAACTATTCCCTACACCAAGCCTCTCCTCCTATTCAAGTTTCATACAGCTAAGTCCTACTCGTTTTTCGGAGTTGCAACTCGTCGTCTCTATCCGTGTAGCCATAGAGTGTATGGAACACCAAACCAAAACCCGAGAACCCTTGAACAGATCACGACTCCATTGAAGAGGGCTTCTGCACAAGGATTTCCCCATACCCACTCTCTTGCTTCACATCCACGAGCCCTTTACATTTGAGCACCTGAAAGAATTGCAGGACTTCACAGTGTCATCACAGCAATGTACTGTTTTTTCCCCAGAAGTTCCTTAGTTGAACAAAGTTTGTTTTTTAAGTACCAGTATCTCGTAGAAGAGCCTCACACTTTCTTTCTTTGTCCTTCCTTCCAGGAGTTGCAGCAGGTTCACTACTTCCTCCTCCCCTTTACGTTGTTTCTCTATGAATGTACTCTGCAGGAGCCTGGTTGCCACCCTGCAATATAAGACCTCAAGCCAAGTTAAACACAAGAGAGGGCCATCGAAGTAAATAGTGATCCACAGCATTCTAGGGTGTGTTTCTTTTACTTCATTTTTTTAAAGCTGAAACAAACCCAGTATATACTCTCCCAAGCATTACTTTTATCATACCTGGTTCTTTCCGACCATCCATCTGTGATGGAAACACTCATATCAGTATTCTCACTAACATCAGGAACCCGAGCAAGCAAAGGAATAATTGCATGCAATACTTACCAATCTCATGGTCTTCATCTTCGATCATTATATCCTGACAAGAGTTAAGTGGGGAGAGAATAAGAAAAAGGTAAAAACGTTTGTGGCATACCTCATTGAGGTGAAAATACAAAACTCATAGTTTTAATACCTTGTTCATGTAATGAAAATCAGTTTCTTGATCCTTTCTCGAGTCGGTCTCTTCCTCAAAATGGCTGAATGATGGACCAATGAAATCCGTGTTGCAAGCATCAGGCCTCTCAGGGCTTTCGAAAGATCTGAATGCTGTTGTGCACTGAACAGGTGTCTCAGGAGCGATAACAGTATGTTCCATCGAGTCATTTCCAGACTCCGGTATGTTTAGCTTCATTGGTTGAGCTGATGAACGAAGTGGTGTCTCAGGAGAAATCACTGTCTGGTCTGAGATTCCAACAGTATCATTTTCAGGTTCATTATCATCTAACTTCGCTGGAGGATCTACTACTAATTCACCAACAGCTAGATGGCGAGAATCCTCTAAACTGTGCTGAGTTTCCACAACTTCAACTGGTATACCATCATTAAGAGATCCTGAATTGCCTGAAGGTTTCACAGTACTAGACTGACCAGCGGAGCATTTCGATCTAGATAACGACTCTTTCGGGGTAGTACATGTCTTAATAGCCTCAGGAATCTTCGATCGTTTGTCAAAAGGAATCTTCGATCCAGTCCCCAAAGGTGAACCTGTGCAGAAAGTGTTTAGCAAGGACAGCATGAATAATTGATATCTACTATCGTTCTTACTAGCAAAACTTACAAGGAATCAAGGGTTCCATTAAACACTGATGCAGATCGAGAAGTCGATAAGCCTTCCAGGCAGCAAGACCAGTATGAGGAACCTTTCTTCTTTTAGAAACCAAGTCACTCGGATCTTGTATGCTTCTCTTAACTATGCTGCAATTGGATATATAGAAATTCATTGTCCTAACACCAAACGCTATAACAACATTCTTCCTCCTTCGCAACAAGTTGCTATAAAGTATGATACATCTTAGAATTGAACACTTTAGAGGAGAACATACTCATTTGGAAACACAATGATATCATCGAAGATGCACTTCCTCTTTCTTTGAGTTGGAGCACGCTCCTTAGCTGCTGGAGTAGGAATAACCAAAACCTCTGGCGTTCTATTCATTCCTGTGTAATAACTAAGATTCATCAGCAGCTTATTCATCAGTAGTACAAACTTGCCGAAAAAGTTCTTCACGTGCCTCCATTAACATTTAAAGACTAAAAAGAAAAAATATGCAACAACCACATTTTTAAGTTCCTTGTACCTGAAGTGTTGGGAAATTGAGATTCAGGAGTACTGTCAACTGTCACTGATAAATGACAAGCATCTCTGGCCACCCAAGACTGAGTATTTGCGGATGGTATTTCTTCGATCAACTTGATGCGTTCTGCTGCACTGTGATTCTCTTTAACACATGGCGTAGTACATTCAAGTTGTTCTTGAACTGGGAAGAATATTTCAAAGTTCAAAACTTTCTCCTGAGATAATCTACAATCTTGCAGTTTCTCTACGCTAGCTTCAGTCGGTTCAGGCTCATCTGGAACCTTTCCTTTCTTTGCTCTCCTATGATATACTAGCCCAAACTGTTGCTTCACACATCTTGATGGTGTCGTTTCCACAGAAACAACATTTTCAGCATCCTCGAGGGGTTTCTCAGCTGCATTGAACATTTCATAATCGACAGATTGGCCCTGCAGAGATGCATTGTCTTGAAATTGCTCAACATTTGTTTCTAGTACACTCACATCACCATGATTCATCTCGTTTACCAACTTGGCAATATGTGGCACATCTAAACAATGCACCTCAACTTCAGAAGACATTTCATATACCAAAGTATTGTCCTGAGAGATACCATCCTGTGCCTCGGTAACAGGCGACACATCTGAATGCTTCCCTTCAGTTTGATGAAGTTCGGCAGCTAGCTCAACAACATCACCACGTTTTATTTCGATTCCAAGAGACATTCCAATATTGAGGGATAATGCTTCAAAGTAATCATCATCCCATACCTTCTGCATACAGATTATATTAGACTCTCCAATATCTTCAGGTTGACAAACTTGCGAATGTGAGGTTCCGACTTCTGGTAAATGATCTTCCGGAATCCTAGATGTTAACATTTCACGTTCTACAGAATGTTCGCACCAATCTTGGTGTGGGGTATCATCAGGTTCAAAAGTTGCTTTCAAGTTCTCTGGTTCACTTGATGTACCTGCCACCCTCTCAACTGCCAACATGCTACATGAATTATTCCATGAAGAAAAAAAAAAGAGCATGAGAAACTCAAAATCTGATAACCGGCATGAAAGAGATTTTGGGATTAGTATCCATACTCTTCATTCAGATGGAACCCGGCGGCAGGAAATCTATCCTCCAGGGGAACAAGATCCATGCAGTGATACTGCAAATCGAAGTAGAACATCTTTGTAAGCAACATACTCTCATTTAAACTCGTTAGGCTACAACAATATAGCGCAAAAAACGATGACTTCTGAGGCTGTCCAAGTATCAACTTCATCCATTTGTTTCTAAGCAACAAAATCTACATCATCAGTTTATCATGGAAGATTTACCTTCTCTCTAGCAAGGTACTCGGATCTCCCATGTCTCCTCGTACCATCTGTTCCATAAGTATATATGCAGCTGAAGTGGAATGTAGTCTGGAACACACACAAAAAAAAAAAAATAGACAAATACCTCCAAGTGTGATTTCTTCTAGAGGCAACACATTGCACCTACGCAGATGAAAGAGCAACAAACATCAGGAATGAACTATACTTTCAGCACATCAATAAAAGAAACAATCATATTTTATCACAATTACAACTCACCCACTACCAGTATCTTCCAGGATTCCCAAGTCAAAAGCATCAAGTTCGAACCTTTCGGGGAGGGTAATGGCACCGAAACAAGGGGATGTAAGCGCCACGAGGGCAATGTCACTACTATTACCAGTAGCAGCAACAAATTCCTTGACCTTAGCAAGCACCTTGTTGCAGTCGTTGAAGAGATAGTCAACCTTCTTGGAGTATATCCTGGCAATCCCAAGAAGAAAGTAGGCCAGCACTCTATAGGCAACGGCATCATCAAACTCATCTTGCAACACTTTGTCTGATAGGAACATCAAATATTGAACATTTCAAAATCAGAACAGCAATAAATGCTGAAGAGTGCTGATTCCAAAGACTGCCAAACACCTCCCGAATCTGTAACCGACACTTGAAACCCAGAAATCCTCTCTGCGAAATACAATCACCCCAAAGAAAAATCTACCAGCAAAAGCCCACTAAGCGTTTGTCCAGTTCATGGAGACTGAAACTGAAAGATCACTGTTTTCTGCACACCCATGAACTCATGCTGACAAAGAAGACCAAAAATTTCACACTATTTTCTCGTACAGAGTTAAGGTCAGGGGAAACAAACCAACAGAGGAGGAGATGTCAGTGTGGGTGACTTGGGATTTCTTGAGCTTTTTGTAGCAGTAAGCCGCCACCCAAATCGAACCTAGCGGCCCTTCTCTTGACAGGAAGCATTGCGAGTAGAACATTCTTTCACCACTCTTCTTCTTCTTGGCTCCTGCAGTATTGGTTCTTGGGTTACTCTGCTTTGGCCTTCTTCCACACGTGAAATTTCAAGTTATGAAATTCAAAAAGTACCCAAAAGAAAGAAGAGGGCTGTTATGGCAAGGCTATGGTCGAATGCCAACAAACGAGCCGGAGAGAGAGCAGTGGGGGGAAGAAGAGAGTGGCAGTGTGCTTGAGAAGAAAACGGTCCAGACTCCAGAGAGAAAGAAGCTTACCAAAGAAGCAGATAGTCGGTTTCTTTACCAATTTTATTATCAATTGCCTAATTACACTGTTATTGTATTAATTTTTTTTCCTATTAAACATAATTCTGCTCTAAAATTTAGTAAGTAACCAAAAAATTTCCAATAAAATTGGAAAGAAAGGAACAGCAAAGTGACAGAGTGAGATATTAATTATTTATTGTAATATTATTTCATAGAAATCGGTGGGAAGCCAAAATCGCATGGAAGTAGTGAAATTCTGACTCGTGTTAAGATGGCGTGTCAATCCCTCGTTTTACCTTATTGGTCTGTAATTATCCACAAACCACGGGCCCAATCTCTCTCCGGTGCTCTGGACTTGATCTCGGTTCTTAGGCCCGCTAGATGTTTCATACAAGAAGAGAAAATCCCTCCAACCTTGTACATCATCTTGAATCTGTACTACTACAAGTCTACAACTGCATTCATACAAACTAGCTTCTAACTAAACATCAGCACAACCACAAGACACTAACTATAAGCATGAAGATGAACATCAAGCCAAAAAAAATACATCTTCAAATCAAGAGAGTTTTCTTCTTGGTCATGATCATGAGCTTCTTCTCCAAGGCCTTATCGAAGTTACTACTCGACAAGGAAAGAATCTGGTTCAGAAGCAACCTCACTCCATACTCCCTGACAAGAGCGTACCTCGGCTTGATCCTGTGCTCCAAGCTATAGCCAAAGTACTGTGGGAACTTGACAAGCTCGTCCTTGGAGTAATCCATGGTTAGGAAGAACTCCCATTTCGGGATAAGGTTATCCTCCAAGCTGAAGCTATACAGAGCTCCATACCTCGAGATCATGATCCCGATTTCCTCTTGTGTGTACCCTTTCCCCAAGAAGAACTCGGTGATGGGTTTCAAGTTCGCCTCGATGCTAAGACCGAACGTTGAAGGAGAACGGAATAGAAGAATGCCTACATCGACATTGAGAGAACTGAAGTAATCTGCTGTGGGACGAAGCTTGTCCTCCACGCTATAGCTGATGATGTTTGGTGCCCGAGTTAAGATCTTCCCTATGCTGTCAGCCGAGACACCCATTTCTGAGAGGAAATCCACAGTCGATTCGACCTTCTGCCTGCTGTAAGTAAGTAGAGCTGGGAACCGGTATATCACTTTTGCCCATTGTGCCTTGTCGACTCCCAAATCTTCCAAGAATCTCATGGTGGGTATGATGTTTTCTGAAAGGCTGATCCCACAGAGTTGTGGCCTTTTGGTTAGGATGACTGGGAGGTTTTCTTTAGGTATGCCTAGATCAATGAGGAACTCAACTATCGGCTTGATCTTGCCTTCCAAGCTGTAGTAAGCAAAAGCCGGGAACTTTCTAGTGATCACTTTGATTTTTTCCAAGTCCAAACCGAGATCTATGAGGTAGAGGATGTGAGGTGGAAGGTCACCAGCTGGGCCTATCTCGCTCACTCGACTCACAGCTTTTAGCTTCTTCGAACTGAGAGGTACTTCAGGAGGAGGAATGGCAGGAAGAGCAGCAGCAGCAGGTTTATCTTTAACCGGAGGGTCTGGAAAGTTCTCTACAACATCAACCAGAACGTTGCCGTGTTCTTCGTGGAGCGATTCAAGGTAAGGAATGAGAGCGTCCCTAATCTCAAGAGTTGTGAGTTCTCTTCCTATACAACATTGTGTCGTAAATGGAGAATCATCAGACAATGAGACAAGTTGAGGAACAGGAAATTGAGTGAAATTGGCATACGAAGAAAGAAGACAGAAAGCAATTCGAACCTACTAGATACCGAGATTTGTGAACAGAATGTAGCCTGGAAATGAGATGGTCGATGAAGACATCCGATTTGTTGGCAGTTCTCGAAGCGACTGACTTGCTCACACCCTGGTTCTTCAAGAACAAGGCTAGAACAGCTTTTGCTTCTTCCTTTTCTGCAGTGAGCAATGTTGGTGGCACTGATCTTGCCGCGGATAATCCATCTACCCTAGTACCTTCCCATTTGTTCAAGAAAAAAGAAAAGTGTTTCAATTCAATGAACATATCTACCAAATTCCAGGTGAAACAATATTGACTGAAATTACCAAATGTCCCCCGGCAGAAAAAGAATGCTTTGTCAGGGAGGAAGAGCCGATTTCTGAAACAAAGCAACACCAATACGTAAAGCTTTTCAACAACGCTTCATCAGAGAACACTTCAATTTCACCATAATAGAACGAAATAACACAAATAAATAGCTCGAAGCTTATTTCAAGTCCCCATATCTTGCAATTAGGACGAGGGTGACGAAAATCAACTATAGCAGAAGGGCAAATCCCATTAGAACCAGAACAACCAACAAGCGGAAACCAAAGGCGGAGTCTTTTTCTCTACAGAAATAAAACCCACGCTGTGTTCATTGAAAACAGAAAGAACGAACCCATTTTTCCAGTAGAAATCAACGGAGGGACGACAGAAAGAAGATAGGTAGTACCTGGAAGAGGGTAAAACGGGTTTAGAGAGGAGATAAGTGAAGCCGACTGAGGAAGAAGAGCAGCGGATAGCGAATAAAGCTTTCATCTTTAAGCTCCAAAATCCAGAGTTCGAGAACTGGGTTGGCAGATTTTCGAGCTCGTTAATGAAGGGAGCGATCTTCCGCAGCGAATACTAGAAAGTAGGGAGTAGCGCAAGGTTGAACTATGCAGGGAAGAACTAATGACTGGTGTAGAATGGCTCGTTTACACAACAAAATAAAAAAGGTAGGAAAAGTAATAAAATATCTGCTCCGCCACGTGGGCGCGGCACACGACTCGGAAAATCATCGGAACGGCGCCGTTCAAGACGGCAGCAAAACCCTATAAACCTTCGAATGAAAATCGGAATTTTGATCCTCCATTGCCGAAGCAAGGAAGAAGCTTTGATTTTTGGAGTGAAGTGGAAAGGAAGGGAAGAGAAGCACTGAGATGGCGATGTATCTGAGACGGGCAGTCTCATCTCGAAGTTTAATTGGTTTGATTCGAAGAATTTGGTCGCGGGAAGTCATCCAAGCTCGGAGCTTCTCTCAGGGTCTCGTTTTTTCGCGGGATTTCATCTGCAGCCATTTTACCGGGACGAAAGAGGCGCCAACTCTGCCGACGAACTTCGGCTTCCTCAAAGAGAGTCATCGAGGGTTCGCCAAGGGCAAACGATCAAGTAACTTCCGATTTATTCGATCTTGCAATTGAGCTTTTTGTTGGATTTGTGTCGAGTGGCCTGTTAGTGTTCAACGAATTGCGTCAGTTAACTGTGAGCAAGATGGGCAATTGGCCTTTTCCGTGCAAGTTTGTTTTCTGAGTTGTGGTTCGAATGATTGAGGGTTCAAAAGTCTGCTATTGCAAGCTTATGTTTGGCTTCTGAATCATAGTCGAGCTAGACCAAAAATGGCGCCTTGCTAGTTTGGAGAGAGCATTTGTGAAACTCATTCTCTTTCTGGTTTGTATCCTTAGGGGATGATTCTGGTGGGGGGACAGTTGAAGTTGCACCCGACATTGGACCTGCTGTTAAGTCAGGTGCGGCCTCACAGATGGATGCAGCAATAGATGCATTGTCTAGAGAACTTACCAAGTTACGAACTGGGAGGGCCTCTCCAGGTGTGATACGTGGAACCTTTCGTATATGCTTTTGATTTGACCCGAGCTCTTGAGCTATTTGGACCATGCTTAAAATGGCTTCTCTGCAGGAATGCTTGACCACATCATTGTCGAAACTGGTGGTGTCAAAATGCCACTGAATCGGTTAGCTGTTGTTTCAGTCATGGACCCCAAAACCTTGTCTGTGAATCCTTATGATCCCAATGTAATGAACTCTACCTGAAGATGGTTTTCTAAATTGGAGCTTTTTTCCTTGTTTTCTGGTGCTATTATTTACTGAACAGACCGTGATTATGGTAAATTGCTTCCTTTTCACAGACTCTTAAGGAACTGGAGAAAGCAATTGTTTCATCTCCATTGGGGCTGAATCCCCGTGCTGAAGGTGAACGACTGATTGCTGCTATTCCACCGTAAGCACTCACTAGCTTATGGCACCGTTTTTTTCAGTCAGTTTGGGGGTATTAGTTTCAAGCTCGATGATGTTGAGACAGCAGCATTATGTTTGGGTTTCTGATGTACTTTTTTTGCGTTCTTTGTATTTGGCAGATTAACCAAAGAACATATGCAGGTGATATATTAACTGTTATGGTTCCCTTTTTAGCTCAATTCCCCATGTAATTCCCTTTGACTGACTGGAAGAGCCTTTCTATAGGCTTTGTGTAAGGTGGTTACCAAGTCGAGTGAAGATGTCAAACAAAGCATAAGAAGAGCTCGTCAGAAGGTAAACTGATTAAACAATTTTAGGGTTCTTCAGTTCATAATTGGAGTCAAACAGGCCCTCAGAATTGTTAGACCACTGTATATATAGTACATAGTTTTCTTCAGTTCATAATTGGTTCCTTGTTGCCAATTTCACATTGACATCTGATGATCTAATAATTATTCCTGTGAATGAGTCTGGCTCGAGCTGAATAGAATGCCTGGCTTCCTATGACAGGCGTTGGATACAATTAAAAAAGCCGGATCAAGCGTACCTAAAGATGATGCCAAGAGACTGGAGAAAGAGGTGAGCTAGTTTATCCTCCCAGTATTGTTTTCATCTTCCACATCACTATGCAAGGACTCTAATGAACCAACCGCTCATCAATTATCGTCCACATCTCAGATCGATGAGTTAACAAAGAAGTTTGTGAAGTCAGCAGAAGACATGTGTAAAGCAAAGGAAAAGGAAATCACTCAAGGCTAGCTTTGTGCTTCCGGCTTCGGCTAATCTGAGAGACTATATAGGCGGTAGGCCATTCCTTTCCATACCAGTTGCATTCCGATTAACTTTTGAGTTAGTTCATTGGCCACATTTCTTTCAACTGATGTTCTCAGCTAGATTGCGGATTAGAGATGTATTGCTTTGGCTGCAAGCCATTCTTCATGTACACTACATACTGCCTCAGTTCTTTAGTGAAAAGGAGGAGGATTAGTTCACGTCTTCATGTTTGATAATCCATAGATCATGAACTGAATCCATGTAGGTTTGAATTCTCCTCATGGATATTTGATTCGCTTCAAACTTTGTAGCATTTGAATTCGACATAAAACGTTTCGCTTTTTTCTTCCTTCCTTCCATATCACATTTTGTTCTACAATATCTGGTTATCATCTTCATTAACTAGTTCGTTATAATCCTTTGATTCACCAACTATGGTTATTACATTTTGTTCTACTAAACTTCTCGGATTGAAAATAGCCACTTTTAACTACAGGTGGATTAAAAGAGAACTTTACAAAATCAATAACTCTCCACAGCTTACTTCAAGAAGAAGTAAACTCCTCTCTAAACCAAACCCCCTCATCATCTCTCTTCTCTATGTAATATGTATACTACTTCCCCCCCATCTTTCAACCGCAGATAGCCTCTCTAGTAACCAGCTTTATCCCTCTAACCCAAAGCTCGGCCATCTTATCGCCACCATCACATACAAAATGAACCTCTTTCTTCTTCGTGGTAATCACCCGAAACAACCCGGGCGACACCTCGCCATCTCCTCTGCTCTTTCTGTTCCTCCAAAACCCTTTACTGGCTCCAACCTCTGCATCCAAGCAGACCACATTTCTCCGGCCACTCTTCCCCCACGTCAAAACTCCTGTCGCCACCACCATCCTGATCTCCTTCTCATGAGCCACCCCTCTACCTCCCTTTGTATGCTTCATCACACGACACCCTCGAACAACGAGCTTGCGTGCAAGCTCGTCGAGTACCACGTTCCTCACTTCCTTGTTCTTGGCCAGAGAAACTGCAGACTCACCTCTGGCGTTCCTGAACTCGCAGTCAGCACCATGAGATATCAACAACTCGCACATGGACTTGAAGCCACCTTTCGCTGCCAGCATCAGCGGAGTGTACCCATCTCCGTCTGGAACGTTGACATCGTAGCCTCTACACGTCAGAAGCTCTGCTGCAGTAGTGTCCCCACGACGAGCAGCACAATGCAGTGCGTAAAACCCTCCGGAGGAGGAGTTTCTGTTGCCTTGCTCGAGTGCAAACTCGAGCATCACCTTCTCAAATGAGTCGCGGTTTGAGTTCAGCTCGGAGATTGAGATGGCTGTCTCGCCGGCTTTGTTCTGTAGCTTGACATCGGCCCCCGCGTAGACCAGCACCCTGAAGGACTCTACACGGCCGTGTAGAGCTGCGCACATTACTGCAGAGTAGCCGTTGACCTCATCTTGGTAGTTAAGGCTGATCTCCCCTGACTTGATCAGAACCTGCAATGCCTCAGCGTCGCTGGATTGAGCTACGAAGAAGAGAGGGTTGAAGACGGACAGACTGCTCGAAACAATGACCTTTTCACCATTTCGTGCTCTAATTGCTTCGTGTACTGCTTGCTGGAAACCGAGCGACCAGCGGTTTGCTGTACCCAGTGAGAGTGCAGATTGGCCTGCGTTGTTGAGTAGGCCGAAATCTGCACCGGCCATGGCGAGTACTTTGAGACACTCACCGTGTTTGTACCTTGCGCTGATCATCAAAGCGGTGTCGCCGGAGTCCGTGGTGGAGTTGAGATGGCAGCCGGAGTTGATCAGGAGCTTGAGGATTTGTGGCGAGCCTGAGCGGGCGGCCATGTGGATTGGTCTGAAGGCTTGTTTCGAAGTATGAACAGGGGACTCTGCATCGGCGCCAGAGGTTAAGAGCACGTTGACAGCGGCTGGGTTGCAGCAGAGGATGGCGTGGTGGAGCAAGGTTCTACCGTGGTGGGTGGTATTTGGTGAGAAGTGTTGTTGGAGGAGGATTCTCAAGATGGTTCCGGTGGCTTCGAAGTACTCGACGGCGCACCATGCGATGCCGTAAGGGTCGGCCAGTCCAGCGCCGACCCGGAACTCCTCGCCGGTGGTTGTGTCCCATGACCATGCTCCTAGCCTCACTTTCACATCAGTTTTCGCGCCAGCCTGTGTATAATGTCAACCTGATTAGAATCCTAAGTGCATTCAGGTGTGTTTGTTTCTAAATGTAACTCATTTGGAAGTAATCATTGTTTAAACTTATAATAATCATAACCGTTGTTCCCAGAATTCACTGATTTCGTATCAGTACCATAAAATCATACATCTGATTTCTGATGTATAGTTTAGATTTATGCATTACCTTTAGCAGCAAGCGAACTACATCAACCTGCCTAGAAACAACAGCAGCAACGAGCGCAGAGCAGTCAACATTGGTGTGGAGAGAAGGCTTAGACGACAACAATAGCAACCTGTCGGTGGCGTTGAAGTCCACACCACACTGCAAAAGACAGATCACAGAAACTGTTAAGCACAGTGACTAATGATTCAAATGTCCAAATTCATTCAATTTCTGAATGCTAAGAACTTAGCCCATGAGCGGGATGTTCTTTTTGTCATGTGGGGTATCAGTCCATCAGACTATTTCAATGATTGAATAATTTTCGTGCTTGCTGACCTTCATCAGGGTATCGACAACATCGACGAACCCACGGCAGGAAGCGGTGACAAGGGCATGCACAGCAACATGGGGCCGAATGAGATCAGACCCCATCAATGCTTCGGCCAACCTCGCCCGCCCTTGGTGACAGCTAGCTTCCAGGAGTGCCTCTTCACAAGCCGGCTGAGACGCGCCAGCTTTGAGCAAGATCTCTAGAATCTGAAGGTGGCCCTCTCTTACTGCTGCTGTTGTCGCAAACCCCCTGAAGAGCTTCTGGTTCACGTCAGCTCCCACGCTCTGCCATTGAATACCAAGCACATTATTTAGTACTACGAGCACACACACAAAAAGACGGTGAAAAGACCCTTGCTTTGTTTGCTCTTTCTTCAATTAAACTCCGAATGAGCTTCGGAAAGCAGACAAATGAAATGCTATTTTAGGCCAACTTGGCTGGCATCTTCGTTCGGGTACAAATTAGACCCCCCCTGGCCATAAACTGACAAACAGGGCCAATAATATAACATGACAAGATAGACAAACTGGCACTTGTGTGAAATCTAGTCATGAGGAATCAATATCGATCCATCCATCCATTCGACAGTAAAAAGTTCAGGTTAATTTTCACCTTACAGGGTAAAGAGAAGACAGGTAGTAATGGGCTTCACGAGTAGTCATTGAAGATAAGTTGGGGGAAATTGCAGCAGGATAAATATGTCAACAGTATATGTCTCCCCCAATGAGCTATCAGAGCAATAGAAAAACCCATAATATTGACAGCAAAAACAGAGACCCTTCCGAGTTATTGCATTGTACTCGCATAGAAACAAACCATGCCGTACACAAGTTGTAAGTAAAACTGTTTTCTGCCATTGCCAACCCAACTTGGTTTTACTACTACTCCCAGTGGCAAAAGGAAAGCTCTCCTACTGAAAACTTACTCGACACAGCAGTAAAAAACCAACCATTAATAGGGAGCACCTTTCTTCAGGCAAATGGAGGATTGACCGATCTAGACTTAATTACCGCACTGAAAACAGGTGGGTGGTAACTAGTAAGTAATAAATCACTCACGAAATCACCATGAACAAGTACAAGTTTCTACCCAAAAAAAAAAAGTACAAGTAAGAGCAATGAGGGCCATTACATTAGTACCGCCGGATGAATCAGCTTCACTCTGGTTTTCAACCTTATTTACTGATCAGTATTAGTGGAATCGCATTGTACCAGTTAGTTAAAGTAGTATACGAATATGATCAAATTGACACGTTGAATAAATAAATTATTTACCAATTACCATGTAGATGTTAAACAAAAGTTGGGAGAAGTGGTTTCAAATCAATCGGCGTGCTTGGTGGTAGCTTCAGGCCCGCAGTAGGGGGGAAAAGGTAGAATGCCTAAAAAGATGGCTCAGTTTCGAAATTTAACTGCCCCGCTAATTGTTTTTTTACTCGTCGGTTTTGGCTTTAAGCCCTGATTTCTCAGGCGAGAGAGGTGCACTTCCATGATTTCAAGCTGAAAACAGTTTAGAAATGGAAGATACCGCCAAAAATAAAGGGGACCAAATTCAGACTTCCATGGAAGCGTAAAGCGTTACATTCCGAAATCGAAATTTGAGTTTTTCAAAATTCAAACAGCTCGGATAATCGAAACCAGAGGGCGGGGAACGAGTTCGACGACTCGCTGAGACTCGGCTCGGACCGAGTCCAATTCAAGTTAACAACTCAAGATCAATCAATAGGAGTGAGCGATTAAGAGAAATTAGTTTACCAGAAGGTTCCTGACGAGAGCGACGTTGCCGGAGTGGACGGCGAGGAAGAGAGCGGTGACGTCGGTCCTGAACTCCTCGTACTCGACTCTGACCTCGCCGGGGGACTCGTCGCGGAGGACGACCTCGCTGCGGCGGCACTTCAAGCAGACGGCTCCGACGAAGTTGACGTCGAGGGAGGGATCGGGAATGCAGTCGAGCGCGGATCTGAGATCGCCGGCGAGGCAGGCTTCGAGGAGCCGCTGCGACACCTCGGCGCCGTAGTCCACCGGGACCACCTGCTTGCCGGAGAACACCGTCATTACAGACTAACACCGACCGAAATGCGAAAATCTTCGACGCCGGAGCTTCTGAGGTACTTTGACGCAGTGATCGAGGGAGAGTTGGAAGGAGTGAGAGCTGCCAGAGGTAGACAGGGGAATGGAAGGAAGGAGGGAAGTGTGAGTGACTCAGCAGTCTAAGCTCTAGGCCTTTTATTTATTGGGAGGAAGAAATTTATTATTTAGTATCGGGAGATTTTAATTTTTAATGGGGGCATTAAATTATAATTTTGTAAACGTTGACGGAGGATTTGTGAGCATTTCAATTTTCACGGCGGTTAAAACTTTAAACAGCGGTCGTGGCGTGGGGTACACAGCATTGGGCATTTGGGCTCGGCTCGGCTCGGCTTCTGTTATTAATTGGGTCAGATTCGGTAACGGCCGAACAGTGTAGAGATGAGATCTGGGCCGTATAAAAGTGGGATTTTTTCAGGACCTAATGCCGGGACCGTCTGATTCAAGCTTAATTACTGGATAATTTCTACGGGATATGGGATGAGGTTAATTGTAATTGTCCTCCATCAAATTTTCAAACAGTATAATTAGTACCTGAACTTTGCAATTCTGTAAGATTTTCAGGCAAGTAGTCCCTTTAGGAAAATTCATGAACTTTGGTGACTCGTTTTGGTAAAAACTTGGTATGTGGTCTCGTTTGAGAAATATATCAAAGTTTCAGGGATCAAACTGAACAAAATCTAACTTGTCTTAATTGTTACAGATAGGGTTGAATTCTCAGTTGCAGAATAATAATTAATTATGAGTCTTTTATATACCAAAAATTGTATTACCCTAGCCATAATAAAACAAAATCATAGCTTGTAATTTTGAATTTGGACTTTGAAAACAAAATACATTGCACTACTTAAGTGGAAAGATTCTACTTTTTAATGTAGTGGGTAAGCTTGTTTTGTTTTGCAATTAGTTCCACAGGTTTAATTATAGTCATATACCATCATCTTTGAAGATTCAATTATGTCCTTATCTTATAGGGTGGCTATACGGTTCGGTCCGGTTAAATTGGACCAAATTGATACGGTCTCAGTCCGGTCTTTTCGGGAATATAAGGACCAAAGATTGGATTGGATACAATTCGGTCTTGATCCGGTCCGGTCCTAATTTGATCTTGATTTTAGGTGTTGGGGGTCTTTTATCCGGTCTTTATCCGGGATTTTTTTACCTCAAATCTAAGCCCGAATATGAGATTGGATTGTTTGCTATCTGGTCCCAGTCCGGTCCCGTTCCGGGTTATACGGTCCGGTTTCGGGTAAAACCAAACAGTCTAGACCAAATAATCAGCCCTATTATCTTACATAACACCATCAGGTGGAGTCAGTGACAAACAAAATGGGCCTCGAGACTTATCTCAATTGTGAAATAAGACAAATAAACAATTTATATTCATCGCATTTTGTATATATTAATCTTTCTAATTTCTTACATAAATATACTAGACATATAAACCAAATTCGATCAGCAACATACATGAACTGGTACGTCCATACACTTCGCTTCTGAGGCGAACCGGAGGAAACTGGCGCAAGAGTGGTTGGTTAATGTCATTCATTCATACATACCGAGAAGAAAAATAAAGTCTCATACTGGCTCTCGAAACAGAGTCTTGTCTATTGCTACAGTATGCATGAACCTGCTAACCCACCCTCAGGAGTGACCCAAATTCTTAAAGATGACACCATCGATATTTCTTTCGAGAGTCATGTTGTGATCGACACACCCCTCTACCTCTCTATAATCCTGTCTTCCTAACTTGTTCTGTTTTCTTGGCTACGACCTCCATCTAATGCAAAAAAGAAAAAAATCGATCAGTCGTATTCTTTTCCCTTAAAAGCTTCATTCTTGATGAAGCTCCTCAGCTCCTCCCCTTATCTAACCTGGCTAGCCGTTGTCGTCCACTAAATATATTCCATTATTCCAACGCCACCAATCACCCTGAACTTGTTACCACCGGCAACCAATTCATCCATTCTACACCATCTCAGACTCGTAAACGAAATTTTGACACCACCACTGATGGTACAATAGTAGGATATCCAAATATTAATGGCAAATATGCCCTTTTTGTTTATAGTGTTTTCCACTATGTACATATCCTTCAATTTACTATCAGGCGATGTTGTTGCTTGTGAAATAGGCTACTTACTTACCAATCAATGATTAGGTTGTGAAAATTAGTTAGGAATTTTCACTCGCACGTATAACGACCACCACTTTTAGTTATAATCATTTGACCCAACAAATAACACGAAAAGACATGCAACAACCTTCACTACCAACCTTTGCGCTTCTTGAAATTAAACAACAAATTAGGATATTATAATATCATTTTTTATATAGTTCATCAAGTAAATTAATCAACCAGAGACAAAATAAATGCCAAAAGGGAAAAGGATAGGCAAAGCCTGCAGCTCACAGTTTTGTCTTTGTCATATGGTCCAATTTCATTAACCCGTCAAAAAAGTTACAAAGAAATCTTACGCAACACTCTTCTACTGTTCCCTTCCTTCCTTTCTCACACCACGTAACCTAGACATGGTCAAAGATCCCATTTTATACAGAGCGCAGGACAGTAAAAGATAACAAAATGTTAAAAAAAATTACTTTATTAATTAACTACGTACCCTAGTGCCAGTGAACAGGCTCTTACTTGAGAAGCCCTGGTTAATGGTAATCTTATGATCTCCATGTTGTTCCTTTCAGGTGGATTCCAATTCTTAACAAAAGGATTTAACCCTCACTCACTTAATTACCGCGCAGTAAAAGCACAAATGCACCCTCACCGTCTGATCTAGATGAACGAACGTTAGATGATAATACCATGCACCCGAAGTACCCGCTAATCAGATCTCACCGGCCGGAAGTTAGTTTAGACGGCTGCTTACGGCGGGAGGAGTAGTTGATCAGCTGCATTGCTGTTTATACTATAGCAAATTAGCAATGGCTGCATCAACAGTCGTAGTCCGACGTGGCGGAATCCTATGGACCCACGAGAAATCAGGATCCAAATCGGCGATGAGTAAAGTCGCATGCAGGCAGCTGATCGATCAGAACGTGGGAGAGAGCAGCGATGGACGGGGGTGTAGGAGAACTTTTCTGTGGCGCACTAAATCTCACTTTCATTAATTAATTAATGGGGCTGATTTAGCAAGCTAAACAAAATTCACCATATGTACATGTTATCAAATACTGCTCCCCATGTTCATTCTCGTAATATTTTGTACCAAATTAATAGTTAATTATCATCGATTTCCGCAGTTTACAGCAGTACTGCTGCACCAGTCTGGTTGCTTCCTGCTACTTCTTTTTGAGCTTTTGACGAAAACGGGGCTCCGTTTTACGTGTCTAGCTTAAGGTAGAAGCCGGAACGGGCACGGGTAAACATTATACAAATGCTATAGCTCTTCGATTTACGAGTCGCTACTGCATGGCCATCTTCCTTAATTACGCGTGCATTTAATTCTCTTGTTCCAAATGTATCATACACAAGACGACAAAAATTGAACCAATGAAGGAAGGTCGAAGTCGGCCAGCTTGTGATAATAGTAACTTAATTATTGTTCCTAGTCCATTTTTTATTGTAGATTTCACGGTCCAAGATGGATTCGAATCAAAGGATGTGGTGTTAATATTTAGGATTTGAAAAGGGCGAGAATATTTAAGATGAGAATAAATTCCGAATTTTAATTAAATTTCTTTAGCAATGGAATGAACAAAGCGTCAATTAGTAGTTTTTCGTTGTCGGAGCAAATAATGAGGAATCCGTATAAGCAGTTAGATTGCTTCATACGTAATTACTTTCTTTCATTAGTTGGTTGCTGGCTTTGACAAGCAGTTCTATATATTGAAGAATACTGAATAATGATGAGAAGAGATTTGTCAGTGAACATTGTATAGGTGAGTATGGCCGATCTAGTTAGTACTTGGTAACCCATACTAGCTAGTTTACTACACACGTGCACAAATAAGACTATATAGGAGCTCATCAGCTATCACACAGATAATCAACGATCACATTCTCACATTGGATTCTATCTTTGCCTAAACTAGAATTGGCCTGGTATAAATTTTCAACGTAACTTACATTTCATCAATCCATTATGGCGATGCTTCCATGCACATGATGCACTACTAGAAAATTTGTGACTAGGCGAGTAAAGGGGGAGGGTCAAAGAAAATCTAATTTCTCAACATTGGAGTATACCAACATTCATTGAATCCATCCAATGTTGACGTGATTACAGTAAGCCGCATCTCTATGTAGAAGAGGGAAGAAGACAAAGCTAATATGTAAGCACCGCCCCATTATGGAGCCAAAATACCCCCCTAAATCTCGAACCATATACATGTGAGAAACAATAGATTTCTGTTTCATGAATGCAAGCCACAAATTAAAGAGAGGTACGTATGCCCATGTCTCTCATATATGCACACTTTCCTCCCTTTTCAGTCAATTCCTTTCTTTCTTCGGCCGGGTTGAACGGCGACGACTCATGCATTTGCACCATATATATCTAGTTTGTAGTACCCTGTACTTGCTCTACTTCCCTTATTATAATGGGTGCGCACGCTGCTGCATATCTAACCCAATTGAATGTTGTCCCCTTCTGGCGTATCTCCTGGTCAATTCATCAAGACATATAGATGTGATAAAAGATTGATTAAAGGTGATGGAGATATGGATGATCATTCTCGTCTTTGGTTAGTAACACTCAACCTTACTGTAGGTGAAATCATCATTATGAATGAATCATTGATTCGAATCTTATATACTTACATAGGTGCTTAAGAAGTATGTCACTCAAACAAAGCACCATACTATATTGCCATGTATATGTTTCACAAAAATAACTTGGGCAATGTCTATTTTTTACCCAAACCTTTTTCAGATTCTTTTATTTTAACCAAACCTATTGAATTCCTAAAAATTATCCAAACGTTAACTCTCCGTCAACTTTTCTGTTAGTAATGCTGACTAAGTATGACCATAATGAGTTGACTTCCTACGTGGCGGTCAGAATACCATCATTTACTATTTTTAATAAAAAGATTATCAAAAAACAAAACAAAATCCCACCTCTCACGTGGACGAAATAAGTAACGGTAACAGAATGAATGCCCAGACTTTGATAAATTATAATACGTTTGGATAATAAATAGAATTTCTATAGGTTTGGTTAAAATAAAAGAATCTGAAAAAGGTTTGGGTAAAAAATAGACATTGCCCAAATAACTTTCATCATCAAACCAATTTATCAATAATCATGTTGTAGATTAGATTATCACATTGCTGATAGTAATTTAGCCTATGGACTGTTGATATGACATGATTATCCCCTTTTCACTTCATTCTACTATACTATTACAACTTAGGGCACAAAAAAATTCCTTTGTTCTCTGAATTTAACCTTCTTTTGCCTTTGTATAAGGTGGTCATAGTAGTTACTGCAGGGGAGGGGAAGAAATGAAAGGGGTTGCATATTAAGAGCAACAGCACATGTGGAACTTCATAAATGCTGAGGTACGTGTCATAAACCAGTTGGTCCCAATAACTCGAGTTGTTGGGAGAAGGGTTATACTGGATCATATACATGCCCGTGTATGGTGCTTAACCACTTCCTTACACGCCCCCTCAAACGAAAGCCGACTCATGGGCTTGAAGTTTGCACAGGCCCAGCCCTACCATGTGCTTGAAAGACAATGGTTAATATTGGGGGTCGTGAGGACTTGAACACGTGACCTCAAGGACAAACCAGCTCTGTTACCATGTCATAAACCAGTTGGTCCCAATAACTCGAGTTGTTGGGAGAAGGGTTATGCTTAGAGGTGGCAATTACGATCCAAATCCATGAATCCAATCCAATCCATCCACCAAATTATCCACTTAATCCAATCCATTTAAATCCAATCCATTTGATCCAAATCCAATTGGATTGGTGGATTCATGGATCAATCGATGGATCCAAATGGCAAATTACGATTTGGTACCTATATATTTTATATTTTACATTTTGGTACCTAAAATTTATATTTTTATACGAAAAATATCATTGGAAAATTACATTTTGGTACCTAAAATTTTTCATTATGACATTTTAGTACCTAAACTTTTCAAAATTTACATTTTGGTCCAAGCCTTGGATGTCATTTGGATTCATGGATCAATCCACCAATCCATTTGATCCAATCCATGAATCCACCAATCCATTGGATCCAATCCATTTGATCCATGGATCCACCAATCCAATCCACGAATCCATGAATCCGATCCAATTGCCACCTCTAGTTATGCTGAATCATATACATGCCCGTGTATGGTGCTTAACCACTTCCTTACAGTACGTCGTCGTTAACTGCATTGGTTCTTGCCAATTTTTGTTTATGCATGGCATGAGATCAAAATTTCCAGACTTTTAATTTCAGCCTGTAGAACTAATGTACTATATAATAGTTAATTATATTCATTCTCCAAGTATATGTACCAGCTGGCACCCTGTAGAAGTACAGTACGTGCAGTACATAAAAAGAGACGATACATAGCTATGTATGTATATTTAATTTTCAGACTACATATAGTCAATTGTAAAGCATGGTGTGGCGTACATGCATATTCCCTTGTATTTAACTATTTATACACATTTTAACAAAATTTAGCTCAGGCAATCTACAAATAGTGCTTATTTATTAGTCCTCCATTCTCCTACCAATAAAACATCAATTTTTCCCCATCAAGAAATTTCCTACCCAATCAACCCCCAAACAGAACAAAACATTAACCCGCCGGTAAAACGAAGACCAAAGACGCCAATTCTAAAAAGACATACCAGCATAAGTTAAAGAGCCATTTTTATCGGCACTGTTGCAAGAACATGTATATTCAAAGTAGAGGTGACTTATTCTTTCACTATAACCCTTAAATTAATGTATAATTGAGTTGGAATTATTCATGGCAAATTTTGAAAGTCTGCATACAGCTGGTTAGCTAGCTAATCCCAACTAAACATGACTTTTTATCCCCACTAATAATAATTAAAGCAATCCCAAAAGATCCAACAAAGTTTGAGACAGATCGAAATCCCCATGGACAAATCATGATTCGGCGCAAGCGCCGCTGCGAGAGGAAGAGGCGGCTGGAACGACGAAGACGCCATCGAAGAAGTCTCGAGAACTGAAACCCTAGATGAGGGAAGCAGAAGCGAAAAGAAAGAAGTCAGAGAAAGTGCTCCGATATCATGTTGTGAGAGAGAGAAACGATCGAATTTTTATTTCACCAAAAGTAAATTTACACTGTTCAATATTACATTATATATTAGTTCTATTCTACTTAATTACAAAACAGTACATAAAGTAAACAAATATTACAGTTTGATCCTATATCTATTCTATACACTAACAGAGTTAAGTGGTTTGGAAAAGGCAGGACAATTTTTTTGCCGTTTTGGGCTACCTTCAAAACTGGGAACACAATGATGATGATTTGATATTGACCCATCTAGTAAGTGCCAATTAATCATTGCAATTTCAAAATGGCTTTGCCGCCAAGTTATTAGATGTTTTGTTTTTTCCATCACTATATTAATAATGAAGTTACCATATATGTATATGTTAGGGGGTTACTAATAAAAGCTACGTAGAACGGTAGAAGACAAAAAAGAGGGTTAACTAACTTAGCTTATAATCAAATCTCCACGATCGATCTCTATATTTCAAATGAGAAAGGCTGGAGTACTATATATTGTATTAATTAACCCATCAAAACAAAGCAAGGGTGGAATGACTGATCATTAACACTATATTGGCCATGGACATGGTAGAGGTCTTACTTAACTAGCAAGGTAATCTTCTTAATTGATTAGTTTGTACATACTATACTTATCTTCTAAGTTGCAAGTGTCTTTTACCCCCCACAATTATGGGGCATGTTAAAATATATACATTACCGAACGACATGTACGTACATAATCTTGAGTCCGGATTTCATAATCACATCTTTAATTGTGAACTCTTCATACAATAGCTTGTTGTCTTATTTGATGGGTCAAAAAAGTCCGCTCTTATGTGGGCTTTGTTTCCCTCCGAGAGTTGTTCAGTATTGGGTTTTCTTAAATTGGTTGACCATGCATATTCAATGAGTCACCTAATTAAACAATCTTTCGACAATCATATAAAAAATAAAAAAGTGGTCGACCAAAATCATCATTTCGGTTACCACCAGAAATATATCATCGCCTATAAATTGGGAGGTGACATTTTGTCAACCATCGTGGTGACCTTTATTTATGTTCACCGAAATATTCTGAACATTATTTCCTAAATTTCAGCAACTTTTTTTATGGTTGCATAAAATAATTATTTTGTAGTGCATATACCTATTAGTTTTTACTAGTTGTGGATCTACATGTCCAGTAGCGGATATATATTCCTCTCAATATTTTGTCAGGTTATTAATTATAACATGTTTATTTTTTATGGTTAGAAAAAAACCCAAAAATTTTAAAGTGATTAGATTATGCCTAATTAATGCTGGCCCTATCAAGCTAGGCAGGCGCCTCACCTCCAAGTTCCAACTCCAAAATTTTAGGTATGATTCTTGTTATGTACAAGTTACTCTATCTATTGTCGACTGTCGAGACTCGAGAGAGTGCCTTCCCCCAAGCCAGAGCTGATTTAGCAGTATGCATGGTTGAGTTGACATATCTAGCAAGGAATAAGTTTAATAGCTCATATTTGGGCCCAACCCAATGAATAAGATCCTTAACAAATAACGATCCAATGGCCCAGAAAGGCCATCCCCAAAACATTCCTGGGCCTAGATAGACATTCACCTCACTCACACAGCCCAAACCATCCGCTGACCAGACATACTGACGCATCCAATCCACCAATAGCGCCAAACGGTGACTGAGCAGCCACGAAACGAGGTGCTATCTGCTACGACTGCTACAACTACTTCTGATACTAGACCGAAAAGGACTTCTACGATTCCTACCCGTTGAACAAGCAACCTCAGTTTCTGGAAAACCACCGAAACAAGGACGACGAACGATCGAATTCCGGCGAAAAATAATCGGAAATGGGCTCGGCGGCTACCAAAGAAGATAAGAATCAGCCAAGTCGGTTTTGCTTCCTTGCTACTCCTCAGTTCAATTGCATGTTAACTGCAATTTTGAATTTCTCGAATTAATGGCGGCCTGGCCATTTTTATTCTCAGGTTCTCCGGGGAAGGTTGCTGTTGTCGGCGCCGGTGTCAGGTAAGCTGTTTCTCGCTGGCTGGCTGGCTAGGACGTTGAGTCTTCGTTGATTATAAGCGAACTAGTGAATGATGGCGTTTTGTAAGTGGGGTTGAGCTTCCGGTTGGGATTGTGATGTTTATGGAAGTGGGTTGTTTGGTGTTGCAGTGGGCTGGCTGCTGCGTACAAGCTGAGATCGCGTGGCTACAATGTTACTGTGTTTGAAGCCGAAGGGAGTGCTGGAGGGAAGCTGAGAAGTGTTTCTCGTGATGGTTTGATTTGGGATGAGGGGGCCAATACCATGGTATGAAGTATTTATTGGATGTTTTATTCAATTTTCTTGAATTTGTGAAATATTGACCCAGAGTTGATTTCATCCTTACTTGTGATCAGCCATTTTTGGCCTTTTGGGGGATGAATGTGTTAGTAGGGGACTGCTTAATTTTGGCATTTTGGTGATATCTGCAGACTGAGAGCGAGGTGGAGGTCACGGCATTGCTTGATGAACTCGGACTTCGAGAGAAGCAACAGTTTGTAAGTTCTTTCTTTTGTGTCATGCTGACGATAAAGGGTACTAGAAGATCTGACTTTAGCTATTGAAGTAATCAGTTGTGAAAAACTGGAAGATTACTCTTATGTTCTTGAATCATATCCGGATGATGAAATTGTTGCTCAGCTGTTCCCGTGCTGAAATTTGTACTACTTAATTGACAGATTCCTCTGGTTACCTTTGCAGCCGATTTCACAGAACAAGCGGTATATTGTAAGAAACGGAGTTCCAGTGATGGTAATTATCATTGCTTTTGTTTTTTCTGCTTGTCCCATGGCTGATATGCTAAGTTGTCTTCTTGGTTCAACATCTATCTATGACTGATTCAGTAACTCTACTTAACTTCTTATGCCAGATTCCTACAAATCCACTTGCGTTGATCACGAGTAACATCCTGTCCACAAAATCAAAGGTCTGGTTTTAGTTATTGGAATTTTTTTCCTGTTTTCCTTGTTAACGTCATTTGGATTCATGGTATGACTCTGAAACAGATGTTTTTTTAGAGCGATGCAGTTTTCAGGCTGACGCCATTTCTCAGTTTGTAGGAATAACACAGAATTGTCAAGACAAGGATTTGAAATTATAATTTTATGTCAATACAGACCATGGGTTATTGTGTACCATTATTACAGTTTAGGCTTGCTGAGCATTATAAGATAAATTTTCACCTTCCAGGAACTCTGCATTTTGATGGTTAATTGTGGATGCAAAATAACATGGGAGAGTTTTAAAAGAATTGTTCTAAAGAAGCGATCAAATTTTCCTATCTGCATTTGTTTCTCTAACCGGTGAAAAGTGGTGGATGCCCACTAACGGCCATTCCTGGCTCGGCTCCGATAACGCAATTCCGGGAGGAGTCGGTAGTTGGGCACTGGTGCTCTTTGTGAAGCTCCAGCCTGACGTGTAAGCTCAGAAAAATGAGCTGATCCTGTGTTCTTCTGATTGCAGATTCAGATAATCCTGGAGCCTTTTTTGTGGAAGAAAAATGAGCCTTCAAAAGTCTGTGATGCTTATGCAGCAGAAAGGTGATCAATCTGTTCATGGATTTGTTTGACTCTGATTATTTGTGATTTTCTATTTATGAACTTCCTTTTGGCACCTTATTTCGTCACCTTGCAGTGTGGGACAGTTCTTTGCGCGACATTTTGGAGAAGAGGTATGTACTGCATGTGTTGCGTTGCTGAAGTTGAGTTCATTTGATTCAGTCACATTTCAAGTTCTTAGATTTAGATGCCTCAAGATCATTAATCTCAACATTTTATATCTTTCTGCTCTGAAGGTTGTTAACTATCTAATTGACCCTATGGTTGCTGGGACAAGTGGAGGAGATCCTGAATCTCTTTCTGTGAGTAATATCTCATTTCTTGGAACCATGCAATAACTTCTTTATGGTTGCTTCATGTTTCAGAAACACAGACCACAATGAACACACACACACACACACACACACACACACACACACACACACACTTGAAGACACACAGATATGAGAATAATTTGTCAAACAAGACTTAGCAATTGTTTCTTTGTTTGAGAGATAAAGTTAGAAAATGAACTCTTATGGCATTTATCTGTCTTCATTTTGACACCTAGTTGAATCTAAATTGCTGTTTGATTATGCAACTTGTATGGTCATTACTTCTTCGTTGAGTTATGATCACTAGGGCTGTGTGGCCTAATTTGTCTCTCTTATCTCATTTACCCTCCATATACCTTAACCATACATAACCTTCCTTCCATGAAACAGGCGCAACATTCTTTTCCCGAGCTGTGGAATCTTGAAAATCGGTACTTAAGTTTATGAAAATGTCCTTTGAATTCTTTTTCTTCTTTACATATTTTCAGTGTGAAGGTGTGAGCCTAATACTATGTAATGTGATGCCTTCAATGTTCTACTTAGTTTCTACAAGTGTTTACACTGAGGTAGCTACCAAAAGACTCTGTTGGGTTAACTCTAATGCCGGTCTTCTTGGATGATACTTTTTTATATTTATGCTATAAAATGTATAACTTGAGTCTTCTTTTTCCCTTAAAACCTTTATATTGCTAGTTCTTTTCATTTCGGTGTTGATCAGTTTAGCTTAGTTGTTCTCCAGCAAAACTTGGGAGCTGTTCAATCAATAAGACAATTATGTATGCATATTCAGGTTTGGCTCTATAATAGCTGGAACAATCCAGGCAAAGTGGTCAGCTAAAAAGAACAAGGGTGGAGAAACCATGGGTTCTGGGAGGAAAAAACAACGTGGTTCATTTTCCTTTATTGGTGGAATGCAGGTAAATGGAGTTTTCGTTGCTTTTTTTTTTGTTTGCTCCTTGTACTAGTTTCGGTGAGCTTCAACATTACTCTCTATTATTACTGTCGATAAGATAGATGAGCATTTAAGGTCTTTGTCCTGTATCAGAGAAGCATGAACAGTGTATCTTGTGGTTTGTTAGCAAAGATCACATTCATAAACCATCCGCACATGCATTTTCACCCTTCCAATGTTCTCACACATATTCACTTCTTGTGTACTATTTGGCACTTCATTTCATGATTATGGTAATAGACTGAATTTTTGCTTTCCTCTTTCGTGTTTGTGTTGTTGAATCTTCTTTATTGTAGACACTTACTGATAGACTGTGCAAGGAGATTGAGAAGGATGAGCTTAAACTAGGATCAAAAGTTTTGTCACTTGCTTACAATTGTGACGCCAAATCAACCCCAGCCAACTGGTCAATTTCATATGCATCTAATAGTGACAAGCCGTCACACTGTTCATCCTACAATGCTGTCGTCATGACGGTTAGTAATCTTCACTGTTCATTTATTCATCCACACTATTTGCCTCTTTCCGTTGGATCGTTCTTTTAACTTCGTGTTTTGATAAATGACATAAAAGCAAAGTTGGAAAACAGCCTACGAGACATAAGCTGCTCAGATACAAGAACACCTTGACAAAAAGACGAAAAAAGAAAAGAAAAAACATGCTGATCAAAATATACAGAACCAAAAATACTAAATCCATGCTCTGACATGGTTTTTTAGTTTGCTTGAGCTCTGATTTATCAGTCTCACATACATGTGCTTGTGGATGGACCCAAGGATCTTTCCAGACTACATCTTTCCTTTTTGGCTTCCAGATGATGAGCATTTTGTGCTGATAATAGCTTTGTCATATAGGCACCACTGGACAATCTGACGGAATTAAAGATTACAAAAAGTAGAGAAATCTTTCCACTGGACTTTCTTCCCAAGGTACTTACTACTGCTGTGAGGTCCATATCCATTAGTTTCTGTAGTCTCAATCTTATAAATCTTGATATATCATGAAACAGGTCCAGTATATGCCCCTCTCAGTGTTAATTACTACTTTTAAGAAAGAGAATGTTAGGAGGCCGCTTGAAGGGTTTGGGGTTCTTATCCCCTCTAAGGAGCAACAAAATGGTCTAAAGACCCTTGGTAATGCTTTGTTGTGCTCAATGGAATATGAAATGTCCTCGTATAGTTTCAAAACTTGTCATTTCACACATACTATATCCCGCAGGTACTCTCTTTTCCTCTATGATGTTTCCAGACCGTGCACCAGATGACCAATATCTCTACACAACCTTTGTTGGTGGAAGTAGAAACAAGGAACTAGCAAAAGCGTCAACGTATGCTAAAACTTTTACCATACAATTCTCTTCTCTGTGTTTGCAGCAAGTTCTCTAAGTTTGAGTTCGAAATTATTATGGTTTCTGTACCCTAACATTCCCGTAAATCATGTTCACAGGAATGATCTCAAACAGATAGTTACATCTGATCTAAGGCAGCTGTTAGGAGTGGAAGGAGAGCCCACCTTTGTCAAGTACAAACATTCCTTTATGAATTTGTAACAAGCTTTTGCAGTACATTTTTTAATATCAACGGAATAGCATGTTCTCATACTACGTGTGGTATTCTGTTGGCAGTCATTTTTACTGGAGCAAAGCATTTCCCCTTTACGGGCGGGACTATCAATCCGTACTAGAAGCAATAGACAAAATGGAGAAAAATCTCCCGGGATTCTTCTATGCAGGTATCTACATATTTATGTTATGTCACTGTCTTATCAAGGAATGCCCCTAAAGCTGTTGAATTATGAGCTTCAAAGGAGAGTAGTGATATCTTTGCATAAATGTTCTCCATATCTGCTATCTTATCTGATTTTGAATGTTCAACCGTTTTAGGTAACCATAAAGGTGGACTGTCTGTTGGAAAATCAATAGCCTCTGGTTGCAAGGCAGCTGATCTTGTAATCTCCTATCTGGACTCTTCTTCTGACAATATGGAGCCAAATTAAGTCATACCTTCAAACCTGTAATTAAATATACACTTGTAACTTTTGAGTGTAGAAAACAGGTCAGAGGACCTCAGTTGTAACTTTTGGGCTCGCAGGAGCCTTTTACACCGTGTAATGCTACTGTTGGTTGACCTAAAATGCAAAATCAACTTCTGAACTTGTACCTAATGCGTTTCATTGTTTAAATTCTTCGGTCTCCTGTTTTCTGTTGCTGACTCCTGCGATTTCAGGTACGTTTTTCGCATCTTCTGGATCAAGTACTACTAATTCTCTCTTTTCACGCAGATTTTTAAAGAGGATAGTGATTGAGTCAGAGTTCTTAATCAACTATCAGAGGGCATGAGGAAAGTGAGAAAGGTTGGAGGGAATTGGACTGATCTGCAATCTTTTGATATGGGTATGATCTTCCAGCTGAGGTATTAACAAGTAATAACTACTTAACAATGAATGGCTCAAGATGAGTTTGGTTGTTAATTGAAGCAATGGATTGAGTAAAGCAAGCCACGCATATGGAGCTTGCTCTTTTTGGCTGCTTGTGTCAGTGGCTATTTCTTACACATGTATGGTTCGAGTCTGGTCAGGTGGGCCCCTTCTTTTATTGTCCTTAATTTGATGCCCTTTTGTCTTTGAGCTGCCATTATTCTCTAGGATATTACTAACTTGGACTCTTTGTGCTGTAGGATTGCTGAAATTATGGACGCAGGGCAGGACCAACCATATTAATAAGTGCCCTCAAAGTAAGCGTCTTTCATTACTTTTCATCATTGGCATCGTCCTTCTTGTACCCACTTAGGGAATCGAATCTCTTTGGTAGTTAGCCTTTTAATCACTCATGAAATCACTCACCTCAAAATCCATGCTAATTAACGTGTCAATTATCGTCCTAATCAAGCACCAACAGTTCATCAAAGTTGAATAGGCCAGTTAGCTTCTGTTTAGTTCCTTAATAGCCAGTTTGCTGTCAAATTGCCTAGGCCCCTCTCTGTTCAAGTCTTCAAGATGTTCTGTCCAATTGTGGTAAATGTCAAAATGGTCACTGAACTATGAGTTCTGTAACGAAATGGTTATCAAACTAATTTTTTTAACAAAATGCTAACTAAACTAAGTACTTTAACTCCCTTAGTAATGAGGTGTAGAAGTTTATCTATCTCTAGTCCATTGTTCAAGAACCAGAGCTGGAATGCTAGGGCTACATGACCATTGATTAGATAGTGCCCTTGGCAGTGGGGAAGCAGGGTGCTACTTGATAGGCTAAGGTTGGGGGCTCTGGTCCCCTATTATTGAAGGATCCTAGGAGCTTGGTTCGGGCATCTTTTCATTTGAAAGGAGTTGGACGAATCCACTATCCATGTGGAGTTGCGACTTGGGAATATGGGAGAGCTTGGAAGGATTGACCGAGTTAGTCAGATCCCATAACCCCAAGTTGTAATATAAATAATACTCTGCAGAATCCAGCTAATATTTGGCTGACTCCCAACAAACATGCCCCTTTGTCTGGACATGAACTGAAGGATAGCCATCGGTATCCGTATTATCACCTTCTCTCTTTGTTTATCATTAGTATGATAAGCATAGATTAGCATAATTAATATGTAGCTTAATCTTGGGTTTGTGGTGTAGAAAGAGTCACTTTCTCTCTAGAGAGGTGGGCATGGGATTTGTTCTTCTCTTACAACGGATTTGTCTATCTTAACGTGGTTTTGCAATCTCTAAAGTAGGATTGCCATGTGGGCAAAGCTATTGGGCCCACCAGGCCACCACCACCCTCCTGTTAGAGCCTTGTTTTCTGGTTCTAACTGTTCTCTCTCTAGTCTCTACACTGAGAAACACAAATTCCCATGCCTGCTTTGTTCCTTTCTTTTACACCCTTTTTGTCTGAATGATTATCTGAACTTATCGAAGTTACAAAAAGGATTACTGAAGTTGGGTAAGTTCATCTGCTAACATAGACAATATTTGTTGGTCAAATTAGGACCAAACGAAGGGCTCCCTCTTTCTTCTTCCCCTTCCCTGCTGCCTATCTCTCTCGACCTTCTATTCCATTTTCCTTATCTTCTTTTCTTTCTTCCTCCCCTTCTTCCTATCCCTGTGAAAATTAGGGACCCCTATTTAATTCGTAACATAAATGTGCCCTTACCTTCACTTCTCCCTCTCTCACTATACGGTCCCTTTTCACCAACTACCCACCTCTCAGTAGTCTTATTGTTCCTCTAGCTCTCATTTATTATTCCTTTCTTTGATTAATTTTTTTCTACATATATACTTCCCCGTTTAGTTCACTAACAAGTTTGTCGCACGGCATTTAAAACTTTGCGGTACTGAGTACAACAGCATCATTTTTCATTTTCCTCCCGACCCAACACTTCATAAAAAAGATCACCTCTGTTTCCAAAGCTCTATTCTTTGTCCTTCCCTCTGTCTCGTGTAAAACTTCTGCTTCCTCGGTTCTTTGTTTTTACTCTAGAAGAAGGAAAAACAGTCCTTAGAGAAGAAGTTAGCTTTTGAAGCTGTTTTCATTAGGAGTGTCTTTATTCCTTCCTTGGAAGAAGTGTCATCTTTTCTGATTTCTTGTTGATTCGCTTCCCCAGTTTTCATTTACTCGAGGAAGTCTGAGTTTCAGCTTCTATTTCTTCATGGGTTTCCTCCAATTTGTCTCAAAGTTTGTTCCTTTTTGAACCTTTTCCATATCACAAGCCAAGTGTAAGATTTGTCTTCAATGGGTCGACTGAACTGGCTTCTCCTGTTGTTCCTGTTGTGGGCTTCCTTCTTTATTCCATTCTCTCATCAGCTGCAAACCTACCAGGCTCAGCTCCTGATGCAACTGAGGAAGCATTTGGAGTACCCTCATCAGTTGGACATTTGGGAAAACTACAATGGCGACCTCTGCAACTTATCATCTACACCATCCATCAGCATTGCCTGCCAGGACAATCTGATTACAGAGTTGAAGATCATGGGAGACATGAAGCTCTACGAGGTCAGTGATTCTTTCACCGGCTCCCCAATTCAGAACCAGACTCTATCTGCCAGTTTCTCAATTGATTCTTTTGTCACTACTCTCACAAGGCTGACCACCTTGAAAGCTGTCTGCTTTGTTTCATTGGGGATTTGGGGCCCACTTCCTGATAAGATTCATAGGCTGCACTCACTTGAACTCCTGGACTTGAGCTCAAATTTCATCTTTGGTTCAGTTCCAGCTCAAATTTCAAGAATGGTTAACCTTACTTCCTTGGTTCTTGGTGTAAACTACTTCAATGGAACTCTACCCGATTGGTTTGATTCCTTGTCAATGCTCACTGTTCTGAGCTTGAAGAGCAACCGTTTTGAGGGCGAGTTTCCTTCTTCAGTTAGCAGAATCAGAACCTTAACAGATATCGCACTGTCCCATAATCAGCTCAGTGGAAAGCTCCCTGATTTGACTGCCTTGACCAACCTCCATGTATTGGACTTGAGAGACAACAATTTTCAATCTAACCTCCCTCCATTGCCGAAAGTTCTAGTCACTGTTCTCTTGAGCAACAACTCATTTTCAGGAGAAGTTCCATCACAATTTGGACAGTTGTCACATCTTCAACATTTGGACTTGTCTTCGAACAATCTCAGTGGAATACCTCCTGCTTCTTTGTTCTCATTGCCAAGCATCAGTTATCTCAACTTAGCGTCCAATGTGTTTAGTGGGTCACTTCCAATCCATGTCGCCTGTGGTTCCAAGCTCGGGTTTGTCGATATCTCCATGAACAAGTTGACCAGTGGACTCCCGTCTTGCTTGGAGAATAAGAGAGTAGTGAAATCTGGTGGGAATTGCTTAGCAATTCATGCTGATTCACAGCATCAGGAATCATACTGCAAGGAGGCCAAGATGGTGACGACGAAGAACTCGAGATTTAGAGCATTGGGGATACTGGTAGCTGTCGTTACAGGAGCACTGGTTTTAATGGGAATCTTTACATGTGGGGTTGTCTGTATATGCAGAAGAAGTTGTCGTCCTAGAAAGAAATTTGAACATAACATAGTTTCCAAGGTCGTGCTGGATAATAGTAGTAGTACTAATCCACCAGCTGCTGGTTTTTCCTCTGATGTCCTAGCTAATGCAAGTAAGTTTTTTTACCGGGGTCTTTAATTTTGGCTGTTACTTCAAAAAGATCACTGTTTTGAACTGGTTTTCTTGTGTTGTGTTTCTTGGACAGGATTTATTTCTCAAACAGCTAAGCTTGGGACACAAGGGTCTCCAGCATGCCGTGTGTTTTCATTGGAAGAGCTGAAGGAAGCTACAAACTTCTTTCATTCCTCATCTTTTATGGGTGAAGGCTCTAGTGGGAAGGTAATTTTTGTTAAAACATATGCACTCCACATCTCCCCCCACAAAATCATTCCATAATGCTGTGAACTCAATCCCATTTCAATTACTTAAATGGTTACTAAAGGGTCACTAACTTCTGATTTTTAACAAATTTGTCATTAAGTTTGGAATACTAACATAACGGTTGTTTATTCCAAAGTTCAATGACAAGCCTGTTAAAAAACCATAGTTTGGTGACTGTCTTATAAGCGACACCAAGTTTAGTGACTTTTAATGCAATTTACCCTCTCTGAAAGTGGAAGTGATTCAATCCATCACAATTGCAGTTGCCTTAACTGGACTTCCTGGTGTTGGAATTGCAACAATAAATGTACCTTGTGGGTGGCTGCTTCATTGATTACTAAATCTGTGTTTGTTGTCAGGTTTACAAAGGTAGATTGCACAATGGCAACCTCATCGCCATACGATCCCTGACATTGTTCAAAAGACAATCTATCCAAAACCTTAGGGTTAGGCTGGAGTTACTATCAAAGCTTCACCATCCACATCTGGTTACTCTCTTGGGTCACTGCATTGACAGCAGTGGTCAGGACGATAGCAACAAAGTCTTACTCGTCTACGAGTACGTGCCTAATGGAAACTATCGCTCCCATTTAGCAGGTCAGTATAGATTTCCCAGAAAGATAGTAGTATTTCCATGTATTCCCTTCAGTGATAACAATGTGGTGTGCATCTATATAATGCAGAAAGCTTTACTGAGAAAGCACTAAGGTGGCCAGATAGACTAGCCATTCTTATAGGTGTTGCCAGAGCCGTCCAGTATCTGCACACTGGTGTAGTTCCAGGCACATTCAACAACCGATTAAAGACGAACAACATACTGCTCGATGAACACCAGATTGCAAAGCTCAGCGACTATGGCATGCCGATTATCACTGAAGAATTTGAGAAACTTGAGGTGAAATTATTATCCGTGTTGGCTAAACTAGTAAATTGTTGGAACTTTTGTTCCCAGATGAACTAATGTAGTTCTCTTCTGTCTTTGTGCTGTAGGCTAAGGGAGAAGGAATGAAATCAAGGTACACGCTTTTTTCTTTCAGCCCCCACCCCCGCCCCAGTTTCCATGTCCATGTTAAGAGTTTGAGATAGAATACCTTTGAAACCCAAAGCCAATGCTCTCCGAAAACCTGACTTTCATCCAAATGAGAACAAACCTGACACTTGCTGAACACATGTCTTGTTTCTGCAGTTACAGATTAAATTTAGAGGATGATGTGTACAACTTCGGGTTCATACTACTCGAATCACTTGTTGGGCCAATTGTGACTGGGAAAGGAGAAACCTTCCTGCTGAATGAAATGGTACGTTCCCTAACCTTGTCTGCTTTCTGGTCCAGATATGCTGAAAAGACAAAAGAAAATGTGAGATGAGAAGTGTGCTAAATTAATTATTGCAGGCATCCTTTGGAAGCCAAGATGGCAGAAGAAGGATCGTGGATCCAATCGTGCTAACCACATGCTCCCAGGAGTCACTGTCGATCATTGTTTCGATCACGAGCAAATGCATCTCTCCAGAGCCATCGGCCAGGCCTTCGTTCGAGGATGTTCTCTGGAACTTGCAGTATGCAGCTCAGGTTCAAGCCACAGCCGATGCTGACCAGAAATCAGATTCAACCTCATAGCCCCATACCGGAATCAGGAGAGCATAAGTTTATTTATCTACAACCTTGACGAAAAAGGAAATGAGCCATGAACATACAATGACTGGCAGAACAGGCAGCTAGATGCAGATTAGTAGTGATCAGATTGCAGAGTGTATAGAGTTGTAAAGTTCCATACAATAGTTGAACAAATTATGGCTGTAAGATGAAGAGTTCCATTGGGTAATAAAGAGTTATGAGCTATGGTTGGCCTCCTTCTTTGATTGATTGATTCGGTCTTACCAAATGTTCTGTTGGTGGCTTTGGTTGAGAGTTGGCAACTCAAAATGATTACCAAAGATGGAAAAGATTTCACTAAACTGCAGAAGCTTGGAATACAAGGCAACGAAGGAAAGATGGAGATGAGTCAAATCTCAAGAAGATAACGGGAAGCGAAGAGAAAAGTGGTTGATACTTGATAGGAGGACCTGAAAAGTGAAAGCAAACATAAATGGAAAACCAAAGTTCAAGCTAACTAACCCAAGCCATAAATGACAAACAACATAAAAACCAATTTGATCTACGAAAGGGTTTCGAGTCTAACGATATCAAAATTGTACCTCAACACTTAGGTGTTTGGATTGAGTATGGACTTCCTATTAATCTTTCTCTCTCACAAAATGTTATGGTTACTGGTTAGTGAATTCATTGTTTGAACTAAAAATGAAAATTCTACTCATTCTGCCCTCCCTATTTTGGAAGAAAACCCAAAAAGTTAGTAGTATTAGCATTGGTAAGAATGTTTTTGAGCTCCAAGCCCATTATTATTGGCTACTCTTTCCACTGTCAATTCACAACCAATTTTGTAAACTAATTGTACTTTTTGTTTCTCCATCAATACGTTTGACTTTGCTTAGATGGATATACGAATGATTAAATGAAATTACTAAACTTTATACGAAAAATGGAACCCACTAGAAAAAATATAAATTTCCATTAATGTGAACATATAGGTTTGTGGTTACCATTAGTAAATGCTAGTATTAAGTGAACAATAAAATGAATGATCAACTTTTGTATCAAATGGAACAAAATTGTGAGTTGTGGAAATGTATTAAAGTGACAAATTTACGGTTCGTACTACCAATATAATTTTAGAATATTTTCACAAAATAAAATCACATGTTGTCATCTTTACATAGTCTTATAATATTTTTCATAAATTACAATAACGAAAAAAGTGAAAATGTGAGGCATTTAGTTTCTTCCTGGTTGGACATGTGTGCCTTTTCGACCAACTTGGCTCATTAAGTCATTATTATATATTTCAGGGTAGACCATGAACGTTCACATAACACCAGAAGAAGACTAACAAAGTCCATAATATAATGTGACAATGGTACCGCAAAGAAACATTTTGGTCCGTTAAGTTGTCTATTTGCCCCATCTCAACCCCAAAAAATGTGTATAGTGACAAAGGCCAACAAACATGAAAGTACTCTCTTGAGCCACTAAAACTACAAAGGACATGTACAATACAATTGAAAAATGCATGGATTATCTTGTGGATACCCCGCAAACAAGTTAAACATGCTAAATGTAAATTATTGGATCATTTTGGACATTGGAATTGTCAGTATCGAAAAGCAAAACAATTTTTTTTTGTACGGATACTGAAATTATGTCGATATAACCTTAGTATGAAGTCAACAAATGTTGTTGATTTCCATAAGTGATACAAAGAGTCGAAGACAACATATGTGAATAGACCGTAAGAGTAGTAGAAAGGAGATAAATATAAAAAAAAATGTAAGTTTTGTATATCGAAATCAGAGGGTAGCGAACATATGTCTCTTCCTCTACAAGTGTTTCCTGTGTTTTTTGTCTAGTGCATTTTTCACCATTTGGTTCCCCCTTTCTAAGGTGAAGATGAATGATCACTGTATCTTTACCGGTTTTCTTTCTTAATAATATGAACACTTGTTTATGAAAAACGTTTAGAAGAGTGAAATGTATGAATATTACTTTTGTGATCTGAAATAGTAATGAAGGTAAAGTTATGGAGTGGTATGGTGAGAACTTTACGTGTGAAGTACTATAGTGTATAATAATGTCGGCGAGTGCAATGCAACTGTGCAACCGAGCCAGCGGATCATGACAGCGACGGCGGAACAGTCTCCTACTGCCGTCCACGCGCCTTCTCCCACCGGCTGCTCGAGTTAGGTACCTCTACTTAACTCAGTGACCAAATCAACCCGATTCCACTCGCCGCGACGATTCTCCTAACGTCACTCACCCTTCCACACTCGCTCCGCCGGCGCGTGGCTTTAGCTTCAACTGAAAAGGACTAGCGCCTCGTTTGGTTCATCTCTATTTCAATGGTAACCTACAAAACATGCCATAATCACTTTGTACTATTCAAGTAAACTCACCCCAACATACAATCTTGTTGCTGAAGTGGTTATATGGAATTGAAATATACGGCACGATAAAACATATTGTTAGGCTGAAATATACGATGAAAAAATCAATTTGGTGGTCGGGATAAAAAGTATTTGTGTAGTCATGAGCCAAAGATGAATTTCAGAGGATTCGAGTCATATTAGTTAAGCCAAAGGTAAATAATAGATTACTAGTTGCTTTATTTTTGTATATTTTAAGTGTTTATATAAAAAGTTGCTACGAGTTTTAATTGTATTTTCACTAATTTTGAAGTTGATTGGATGGATGTTTTCCTTCCAATAGTGCAATACCACCACCGATTCATTATTCATGAAGCGAAGCAAGAGTGTTTCTGTAGTTTAATTTGGTGATCCCCTATTCATCGCGATAGTTCCATTACTCTATTAGTTGTCCATTATGAAATCGACTTATAGCACTAATGATCGTATATGAGCTTTAGATTTGGGACTGATTCCTCTTTGTTGTCTATGTATGACGTAATTAAAAAAAAATAACAATCACATCTTCTAGATCGTGATTACTCTTTTTCTCTTGTGTTTCAAAACTTTAAATTGATATCACCGCTAATATATATTATCTCCTTCATAAGTTGTATGAGATAGATTTTATCTCTTAGGCTATGTATTTTTCCAAGTTGTTGAACTTGGGCTACTTATTTACATCCCCAGCTTCTGCTTCAACTACTTCCCCAAATAAGAAGAACAAACAATGCCTTGCATTATTTGTCAATAATTAGCAGTCGCTATCACCTACGCTGGTTTCCAAACGTCGTCGTAGCCTACTCATAATCACCATTAACACTAAACAAAAACGCCCCCTTGCCCACTCCCACGAACAACCAGTCATGGAGAAAACTAATGGTAGTTAGCAACGATTTTCATTAAATCAAATCTCTCCCTCAGCTAGTCGACAAAACGTTAATCAGGCAAGAAGAATACATTCCCCCACATCGCAGGTTCCACCTTTATTAGATTTCTTATTTTTATCTTTTTCATTTTTTATGGCATTACATTTCTCTTCGTCACTCTCCCTCACTCGGATGCTTGACAGAAAGGTATCTCATTGGTAGTGCTGCTCGTCTTGACAAGAGAACGTCAGCCATTCCATTTCTCTCCGGCGGTGCTCTCTGTCGGCGGTTTACTGGTACGAATGCGTCCTTATTGTTAATTTGTTTTTGTTCATTTTTGGTTGTTGAGTGGGAAAGTTCTGGCGAGGCTTGGCATTGCGTTGTCGAGGGTGTTCTGTGAGTTTTTGGGTGACAAAGGTTCAAGCTTTGTGGTTTATGGGGAAGAATTTGTCGGTGCCGGTGATTTTGGCTGGATCTGGCTGCAACCCTGCTTGGAAAATGTCTCAAAGCTATGAGCTTCAGCTTTTTCCTTTTTCCTGGTTCATTGGGCTAAAAATGGAATCTTTATCTCTTTTCCCTCTTGAACGTCTTACTTTCAGTCTTCTGTTTCGGCTGTGTGATTCTCGTGATTGATCACTACACTGTAACATTGGTCGCTTTCCTGGATGTGAATAAATTTATTGATGCTTCATCCCTTTTTTGTTAGCATTTTGAAGTTTAGGCTATTGTTGCTCGATTTGGTTGCTGTTTGAGAGTTCGAATTTGATCTTAGAAATGGGCTTTTGTTGTTGGTTGCTGGGAAAATGTTGTGATAGCTAGAAAAGTACACTCTTTTGTGCTGTTAATTGTTGCTTTTGGCAAATAAGGTAAGTGGTTGCTCCAAGCTTAGTTCTGCTCACCAACCTAACAATGAGAAATTGCTATTTTTGGCCTTTCTGTTTTAGCTTTCCATTTTATCATTCTAATTGTTGTTTTTGGTGACTGATCTGTTGCAGTAGCATTTGGGACCATACAATGGTTCATGTAAATGTGAAGAACAAGAAGAATGCTTCAGTCCAGTTGAACTACATAATCCACATTGAAGAGATCAAGCCATGGCCACCATCTCAATCTCTGAGGTCTCTCCGGTCTGTACTAATTCAGTGGGAACATGGTGACCGCCATTCAGGCTCTACCAAAGCTGTAGTCCCATCAATTGGGACAGTAGTTGGCGAGGGGAAGATTGAATTCAACGAGTCCATTAGATTGCCAGTCACTTTGGCGAGGGACCTAAAAGCCAAGGATGGTGATGTGTTCAAGAAGAGTCGGATAGAGTTCAACTTGTGTGAGCCTAGGAGGGAAAATAAGGCCCAGTTGCTTGCTACTGCTGTAATAGACCTGGCAGATTATGGCGTGGTAAGAAATACAACTAGTGCTAGTGCTCCAATGAAGAGCACTCGGAGCTTTACAAACAGTTCCCAGCCTGTTTTGTTCATTAAGATCCAGCCAGCTAGTAAAGGCCATCCTGGATCTAAAGTCCAGGATGGAGGCTTATCTAGAGGTGTATCGCTTGGTACGAATGGTGGCGATTCGGTGTTGGGGTTGATGAATGAAGAGTTTGCCGAGGAAGCTGAGCTTTCTACTTTCACTGATGATGATGTGTCATCTCACTCTTCCATGAGCAACAGCGGAGTTCCTGCTCATGAAAAGGTACATATGTATAAATGGAGTATGTAAGATGTGTATGTTTGCATATTGTGGTAAGCTACAGTTATTTCATTTGGATTACCAATTCAGTTAGTAGAGAACCAGCTTGTTTCAACGACTCGAGTTGTTGGGAGATTCCCAGAAATGACCTTATATTATTACATTACCGCTCACAATAATTCATGCTAGCATCATGTGACATAGTACATGTATTGTATTTAATGCCATCAGATGTTATCATGCTTTCATTTTTCAGGACCACTTTTGGGGTACTGTTATTCCACATGTCCCTAGGAATCACACATAGTAAATGGTTTGTGCTATAAATATATATACAGCAGAGATGCTGACAACTTGGCATTGAATTGCAGAATGAACCAAATGGAGTGACAAATAGTAATGGAGGGCTCATGCAAGAGCATGCAAATGCTTCAAAACTGAGGCTTGAAAACAATATTCAATCACAAGAAAATTTGAAGGGGAGTTCTTCACGTTCATCATCTTCTGTAGATTTATCTTCTGATCCAGGAAGCCCAATAAACGGTCATGCTTCTGTGGTGAAGTCTCTTGATTCCACTTCAGTCTTAAATCCAAGGAATGAACAGAGCCTTCAATCCTCTTCGTCACACACTACGGATGTAATAGTAGAGGAGGCTGTTGAAAGTCGAAGCAGTGATGACCATGGAGGTTCAGCGTATGTGGATGGTGTAGAAATTGAAAGTCGAAGCAGTGAAGACATGAATGAGAGAGAATACCAGGGAAGTGAACAGAGCACTGAAACCACAGATGAAGGACTTCCCTTGACTGCAGACATTGGAATGAGAGGAAGCTTTACGAAACCAGATAGACTGAAGAACGTGAGATCAGTGAGGTCTGCATCAGATTCAGGTAGGAGTAATGGAGGTGTCAGCAGAAGTCAGCCCGCAACTGAACAAGTTGATGTGCTGGGAGATGATCAGAACAGTGTTGGGAGCATGAGAGTTAGTGAAAGAAAAAGTGCCAAGATCTTTCCGAAGGACACCAGCACCACTGTGTTAGGTGGCAAAATGCAGCAGTTGGAGCACAAGATCAAGGTGCTCGAAGGAGAGCTGAGAGAAGCTGCTGCCATTGAGGCTGCACTTTACTCTGTTGTTGCTGAGCATGGAAGCTCCATCAGTAAGGTGCATGCTCCGGCTAGGCGCCTTTCAAGAATGTATCTTAGTGTCTCTGGAGTCACCAGGAGAGCCAGTGCAGCCAGAAGTGCGGTTTCAGGAATGGTTCTAGTGGCAAAGTCATGTGGCAACGATGTCCCCAGGTATGATAGTTGAAGCTCTATCAGATGCTATATGTGTAGCAAGGCGTGCGATAGTTCTTTGATACCTTGGTTTTGGATCCTTTATTGCCCAATGCAGATTGACATTTTGGTTGTCAAACTCGGTTGTACTGAGAGCAATCATAAGCCAAGCAATGTATGAGTCAGCGGAAATGAATTGTGCTGAAAAGCAAAACGAAGTGATATCATCATTGACTTCTAGCAGAAAGGGAAAGGGAAGTGCAATATCTGGTGATAATGAAGATTGGGAGGACCCTCGCACTTTCATATCAGCGCTTGAGAGAGTTGAAGCTTGGATCTTTTCCAGAACTGTAGAATCCATTTGGTGGCAGGTTGTTTCCTTCTCCTTCTTTGTTAACGTTGTTACTTCCTTTTTTTCAATATTACTTAATGTTGACTTTTTCCATGGCCCTGTGTGTTTCAGACTCTTACACCACACATGCAATCTGCAGCCACAAAAGGGATTGACAAAGTCAGTTCATCAGACTCCAACAAAAACCTTACTCGGTCCTCAAGTTCATGTGATCAAGCGCAGGGGAACTTTTCATTGGAGCTTTGGAAGAATGCATTCCAGGATGCCTGTGAAAGGCTTTGTCCAGTTCGAGCAGGAGGACATGAATGTGGTTGCTTGCCTGAGCTAGAAAGACAGGTGTATATAGAGAAGAAGCCCCTTGTCCAAGCTGTAAAGTTTGCTTAACATTTTGGAAGTTCTTAGGACTCAATGCTTGTCGTTTCTACATGCATAGGTGATGGAGCAATGTGTGTCTAGATTGGATGTGGCTATGTTCAATGCAATACTCCGCGAATCTGATGACGAAATCCCCACAGATCCAGTGTCTGATCCCATAAGCGATCCAAGGGTTCTCCCAATCGCAGCTGGGATAGCAAGCTTTGGAGCTGGTGCACAACTAAAAAATGCGGTATGGAATCTGAAAGTGACGTTTTCATATTGTTAGTTTCAGTTATTTAAGTTTATGATGTTTGTGTCAGATTGGAAACTGGTCGAGATGGCTCACCGACCTATTTGGCTTGGACGATGATGATGTTGACCCTTGTGAGGACAACAACGATGACCCAGATGAGGATGATGACAGACAAGACACTTCCTTCAAATCTTTCTATCTGCTTAATGCTCTTAGTGATCTTATGATGCTTCCAAAGGACTTGCTCTTAAGTAGAACCATAAGGAAAGAGGTTTGGCTGTTATCTCATACCTTTCCATTACATACCTGTTTTCTACTCGACTATCTTTACTTACTTTGTTTGCTTTATGGTGAAGGTGTGTCCTACATTTGGGACACCATTAATCAAGAGGATTCTATATAGTTTCGTCTCGGATGAGTTCTGTCCTGATCCTGTACCAAATATTGTCCTTGAAGCCTTAGAGTCCAAGGTAAGTTCCATTTGCATTAGCTTCATTTTCACAATCCACCTCCCACAGTCTGTTCTGTAGTACAAGTTATTTGTTCTCGACAATCTACCCATTTCAATGATCCATTTGCTTAATGACCCGCCAAATCTTGTTACTAGTAATGTCCATCTTGTCTTATGTTTGAACTTGATGCAGGACAATGCCCCGGCTGAAGAGGGTTGTGTTACCACTGTGCCATGCATTGCAGCTCCTCCAATCTATCTACCATCTTCATCAGCTTCTGTTGCTGCCACAATTGGAGAGCTCGGAAAACAGTCCCAGCTCAGGAGAAGTGGTTCGTCCGTGCTGAGAAAAGCATACACTAGTGACGATGAGCTCGACGAGCTGAAATCGCCTCTGGCTTCAATCTTCCCCGACCTGATGTCTTGTTCATCATCATCCCCTGCAGCCTGGAAACTGAAGGAGGGGCAGAACCCGGTAAGGTACGACCTTCTGAGGGAGATATGGAAAAACAGTTAGTAGTCTGATCTTGTAAACAACCACATAGTAGTATATAGAACGGGGAAATCATAACTGTTGTACAAATTTTTTGGTTCTTGTTCGCCTTCTTCTTCACGTGTGTTTATACAAATTGAGAACCCATCTATTCTAGCCATGAAGAAAGACTCGAACTTTACATTTACTGAAGTGCCATGGGCTTAAGAGTTGCATATTGCTTCGTTCTGAGTTCTGCTTAGCTGCTGTTGTTTAACCACTGAACAGACTTCAAATAGTTGAGATGGATGACTTGTTTTACTCTTTTACCTCGTACTTAATTTAAACCGAACCAATAGTCTAGCCGAATGTATCACCCAAACCCACCTTATTTCATACCTTCCCTTATATCACAGTTCAGTGCTGTCCAGAAACCAATTTGAGGCCAGCAAAAGGCATAGACCATATATTCAAGTTAAAGACGGAACACAAAAGAGCACACAAACCACAGGAACAAAGGAAAAGCAAAACGATCTTGTATTGATAGAAAGCATAACAATATGCTTGTTTTGATGTAATAATAACTTTTCCCGGATGCCAATTGTCCTTTTGGCCAAAAACCACTCAAAAGCCCTTACAAAAGCAGCAATGCAAACTCCTCAAAATTGCATCTCCAGCTCACAAACTACATATCATGGAAAGAGAAACCCTACTGAATGGAACATAAAGCTTCAAAATTCAGCTGGCAATTGTTGGTCTCTGCCAAAACAATACTCTCGCATCTCTCTGCGGTATACATATTTACTAGAATCATCAACCGGGCCACCTCTTGGCATAAAGAAGCTACACACAGATTAAGCAGCAAGCTTCTTGGAAGACAGAACGGCGTTTGCTTGCTTGAGATGCAAAGCAGCCAACAAGCCTTGCCATGTTTCTCCTGGTCCACCAGGGACTTGGAAATCGAGAAGCTTCCTCTGCTCCCTGTAGTAATCTTCCACTGCCTTGCCCTGAAACACACAGGAAAAAGAAGGAAGAAGACATTAGAGAGATTTCAAACAAACACCCAGGAATGACGAAAGTCATCGTTGTTCACGGAGCATTTAAAGTTTACCTCTTCTGCATACAAGCGGAACTTCTCCCCCCACGAACTCTCATCCGATCCACCAACAGACGGAGAATGTCCTAAGCCGACATAGTTTCTTCTCAACAGCTGTTGCTCTGCTGATTTGAAGTTTACCACTAGATCAATGTCAGCAATTTGATCAAGAATCTCCTGCAGAACATTGAGACGAGAAATTGGAACTCCAAATATGGAACATAAGCAAAGAGTCCAAACATTGCAAGGAAACCCAAGCGATTGAGAGACTCACAGCTTGCATTCTAGTTTTGGGAATACCATCCAAAATGAATCCACTTTCACCTTTGGAGTATCCCTCTTCAAGCCTCTTTGACAACAACCCAAATATGACCTCCTCTGGCACTAGCTTCCCTTCATTCACAGCATTTGATATCTAAATTTGGCCAACGGAAATTTCAAATTCCATTCAGCAAGTTCTCAAATTGAACAAAACCCTACTAAGCACACGCACACTTTATGACAAAGGAAACACCAATCTGGTCCAATTCACAGCATAATTCATCAGACATGGCAAGGGAGTCGCAGGACTCAAAGCAAGAAGGAAATGTACCAGCTTGTAGAGAGCAGAGCGAGGGCTGAGCTCCTGGCGAAGGAGGGTGCCCATGGAAATGTGAGGAACTTCCAGGACCTGAGACAGTTTATCCGCGTAGAGGCGTTTCTTCGCTCCGGGATCGCCGATCAACACCCATTGAACACCTCTCTCCCACGTCGAACCCGCTGCAGCCGCCCGAATGCCCTGTCGCGCCGGAGAACCATCTTGTCCGGAGTAATTGCAGCATTCCTCCTCGTCGTCGGAGTACTGGTACTCCACAGCCACCGCCGCTGATCCGTAGCAAGCTCGACTGCCGGTGAGGAACCTGAGGCGTCGGAGGGCCGACGATGGAGCTGCTGCTGCTGCCGCCGAGGATCCCAGTCGGCTCAGCCCGGCCATTTGTCTTTGGGGTGGCGGCGAGAGAAAGAGGAAACTCTCTCTGGAGGCGGAAAAAGAGGGTTTTTCGTGTGGCGAGGAAAGAGAGGTTTTAACTTTTAACAACCGAAGGAGAGGAGAGGCCAGAGCTTGATCCGGAAATGCCACTAGGTTGGGAGTTTAATTACCGTTTCTGCCACAATATTCGTGGGGGCGCCAAATGTCAGGAAACGGTTGGTTTGTATAAAAGTCAAATGCCCTTAGATTTTCTGGATATCTGATTGGCTGTGAAGCGGGCGTGGACTTTTCGTATGGTGGGCGTTGCTGTAGGTGATTACTCGACGGTGAGATTCACGCCTTCATCGAACTTGGCCTTTTGCACTTTGGGTCTTGGGACTAGTCGTTAGAGAGGCAAAGTACTAGCCACAACAGCATCTTAGAGGTCCCAATGGATGATTTGATAAATGTTAAGGAAAAAGGCTACAAATGGAACCAACTCAGTCAATACAAAGTTACATAAACATGTAAGAGGTAACGATTTTGATAAAGAATGTAAGAGAATAAATTAGAAAATGTGAGAGATTTTCTCGTAAATGAAGTCGCCGTGTATGCATGCTTAGTTTTTTACAATTATAGATGGTGTTTGTTGATCCTCTACATTGCGCTTTAATAAAGTTTTTCATGCTCATAAAAAAAAGAGTTAGGAATACAAGTACAACACAAATCATGTGCACACGGGTTGGAGAATAATGACTATACGGAACCTTAGCTACCTTGTCCCTCCCATAAATAGCAGCTTACACTTTCCTTTAGTGATAATTGCTCACAACCTTTCTTCATTTTAGTTACATCTTAGGCTTTCTTAGTTTCTTACATTCCATGGTCTTTGTAAACTTTGAATCTTTTATTTAACTTTTACGGGTTTTCATTTTCTTGCTACGACAAACTACTTGAAAATGTACATAAGGATCTTAAATCGTTCATGATTTGATCAGTGTCAAGAAAAACGTTATACACCCGAATAATTAGGGAAATTCACTCCATCTACAAAGGTTAACAAACACACAAGATGTTGATTTTGATAGAGATTATCATATAGAATAAGTTGAGAATATAGATAAAGGACAAGTCTTGTAAATGTTATCCCATTAATGACTATTATATATTAAACCTTAGCACACTCTTCCTTATGTAAGTAGCAACATATTCTCAACTCGCAGTTATAATTATTTACAATATTTATTCACCTTAATCTTACAAATTTAGATGTACCTAAAACTATTTGTTCACATCGTTTCCAAACTTGGACTCTTTGAATGCCTCTAATTAATAAGGCTCCATTCAAGTTCTGAGCCAAAACTATGAGGCTTAACAATTTGCCCAACTATATCTTCGCAAATCTCCACTTTATATTTAATCGGTTTCGTCTTTAGATCAGCTGGCCCTTGTTGCCGGCAGCTCTCCTCCGAGCGGCAACATTGTTGCATCCCAAACTCTTCTTTTGTTGAGAGTTGGATCCTAACTCGTGTTATTCATACAAAGAAAACAACATCCACGCTAGACACGATTTTGTATGGTAATACATGGCTTAGAGTCATGGGCCTTTCAAGCCAACCCATCAGATTTCATCAAAAGGTATGCAATACCTCAATGGCCTAAAAGCCCATCCAAAAAGCAAATCAGATCTCAAGTCTGTAGTTACATAGATATAGTGGTACATTACATACATATCGAAAAAGTGAACATGTTAGCTGGTTTGCCCGAGAGGTTAAGGGGGAAGACTTAAGATCTTCTGCACATAAGTGCGCATGGGTTCGAACCCCATAGCCAGCAATTTTATTTTTGCTTTAACAACAATTTCCTTGGCTTTTTCCGTCCATAGTCTTCACTCTTGCAACTCTCCGTTAGAGTTCTTTAGCGTATTGAGTGTTTGTTTATTATTTATCACAGTTGGGCTTTCTTTCTCAACTTTTCATCCTCTCCTCCATTAGAGTTCTTTAGCTAATATATTGTGTGTTTTTCTAGTGTTGGAACACATTTGCACCCCCTTTTCTCTTTATTGGACTTCTTAAGATCTTCTCCACATAAGTGTCTGTGTTCGAACCCCACAACCAACAATTTTATTTTTGCTTAAACAACACTTCCCTTGGCTTCTCCCGTCCATAGTCTTCAGCGTATTGATCACGGTTGCACTTCCTTTCTCAACTCCTCCTCTCCATTAGAGTCAGTGGCGTAGCCAGGAATTTGACTAGGGTGGGTCCCACACTAAAAAGAAATCATTCGTAACTTATATTAATATCTTACGCACGATGTGTTTCGTATTATGCAAAGTATGAAAATACATTCATCATCCTAACTATCAATGATGTCCCTCTCAATGTAACCAACCAAAAAATCATTCCTAATTTCATCACTCATCTGATTCCGAAGTGTTTTTTCACGAAGTTCATTGCAAAAATGCTCTTTCAACACTTGTAATGGCAACATGTAGCAACAATACCAATTTCAAAAGTCACTATACCAATGAAAACACTCGATGTTTTTTTACACAACCATAACCCTAGATTGGCACGACAAATTCGACAACAAAGAAATGAACGAACGGGTGGTGGGTAAGAGTTTCCACTATCGTTTGGTTGAAGAGGCAAATTCGACAGGCGATATATATATTTATGATTTCAATTAGGGATTGGAAACTCAAGAATAAATAATTAATTGTGGATCCTTTATTATGTAACTCAATTTTCATAGCTAACTAAAACCAAAATTGTGTAAATAACAAAGACTCTTGCATGGCCGTGGAGGGTCTATACTCTATATGTAATAGCCAAGACAACCATGGTTTGATCCTTGGCTTCAGCATACACGTACATTTAAATTTTTGGGAATCCAAGGTGGGTCCGGGGACCCACCCTTCTCTGAATTGGCTCCGCCACTGATTAGAGTTCTTTAACTTATTGATTGTTTTCGTATTGTTGAAACACATTTGCACCTCCTTTTCTCTTCATTGGACTTCTTTAGACATGGAATATTTGCCTATTGTGGATTACAAATATATTCTCTTATTGTTTGTGGGGAGTTTGGAATGGTGGATGGACATGGTTGCCTTTCGACACCATCTTGTTGTTAGTTAATTCGTACTCGATCGTGAGTTTGGAAAGAGTGCAACATGCCTTCAAATGAAAACTTGAACTAAGAATCAACAACTGGTCAAGTATGCATGAGTAATGTTATTTCTTTAAGGACAAAAATATAGTAGTAGTGTTGCATATCTCCTACCCTGCGAAGCAGGTTTATTTTGAGTATGGGTATTCATGAGCACATTTGTCACACCATAAGGTTTTCTGCCCAGATTTACATCTCATGTCAATTGATGAATTTCATCGAAAGAAAACCGATACCATATGTACCCGTAAGCATATCAACCAAAAGCACGAGTAATTCCCAAGCTGCAACTCCATTCATTAGACGTCGAAAAAATCCACAAATCCATAAAACTCATATGATCTTTCGGAATATCAATTCTTATTAATTTACGTCTTTCTATTATCCACGGTATGTAGCTCTCGTGTCGCTTACTTTTTGTTGTTGTGATTCTATTAATACATGTGCACACGTTTAACTATCTAATCTTTGCAACACGAGGATCTCATATATATGTCGTCATCTAATACCCTGCTCCTTGGCTTGATGTATAAGTTAACTTGCCGTTTGTTGAAGGAGATTTAAATTTGAGCTTTTCTTCTTCACATGGAGAAGGGGGGATGATATTCTCAGAAAATAGTAACCTGACGTCATGCAATACCTTAAGACACACGGTTCTGCAAACCAGGCAGCCACCGCGGGATGGGAAGTTGGAAACCAAGTGGGGAAGGCGTGCGGTGCGGCAGCCCACAACTACGTACCAATCTAAGTAAAACTGTACCTTCCATGGCTCGTTCCTTTTCTTCGATCTTCTTCCACTTGAAGTCAATTTCTATATATCTTTAGCCTTAAGTTTGACCATGGAAAAATCCCACAATATATATTGTGCTTTGGTTACTGCACCTTCCTCGTCTTCTCCCATCAATTGGGAAATCCTCTATCCAGGAGAATGGAAGAAGATGTCTATGTGGCTCGTTTTGGTTGGCTTAGATCTTTTTAAGTCAACTAATTAATCTCGTGCATAAATATGAATGTGAGTTGTCTCAATCTATAACATCAGAAAAGTGTAAGCAAAGATAACCCTAATGGACAAGAAATATTAATGCAATATTAAAGAAAATACAAACACAAAGTACCTAGTTGTCATGACATGCATGATGATATATCCCTTGTTATGGAAGGTACTTGACACAAGCAATATATAAAAATTGGATTTGCTGATTAATCTTTATCTATTCAAAACTTATGGATCCAAGCAGGGATGCAAATGAGACCGAACGTTATTGTTCAGTTTCATGCATGCTAATAAGAAAGTCGATGAAAATCACGAGCTAAACATTTACTTTATAATGATATTTTTTAGTTATATAAAATTGCTACATTATAGAACCTTGTTGTTGTTATGAAGGGATAAAATTTCAATGGGGTGTTATTGCAAATAACCAACTGACCCTTGTAACTACAAAAGAACAAATTTATGGGAACAAGAAAGAGATTAATGCAGTAAAAAATTGTGATTCTACGTAGAATTGTTTTGGTGATTTAGAAGTGTAAAAGTGCGGGTCTTTAAGATTTTAAGCATATATTCTGACTACACTTGTAAGCGAAATTCATGATTCTACGTAGAAGCGTATTGATGGCCTAAAAATTAATGTAAAACGTAAACTTTCAACCTTAAAAGCGTTTGACTATATTCATATTGCAAGAGATTAGTCTTGTGATCATTCCACCATTAATCCTTAACTTAAAGGTTCCAAAATCAAATATTTTAAATAGCACCTAACACTAAAATTGAACTTATATCACTCTCATTAAAAAAAATTCCTAACTCAATAATCACTCACCAGTCAACGAACAAGGGCTTGGCCTAGTGGTAACACCACTAGCCTAGAACCTGGAGGTCCCAGGTTCGAATCCCTTAAGTAGTACCTTAATAGCAACAAATTGAACCTATATCACCCTTATCTAAAAAAAAAAAAAATCACTCACCAGTCACCAACCTCCCTCATTCCAAAATGTCAAACGTAATCTCGCTCTCATGATGAAATCTAAACAAGTGAACGAAACCGTTTTGACGGTTGCTAATAAATAACCAACAGAAAATAATATCTTCTTCTAGGTACCGACTTTCTTCATAAGTCGGCTCTGCCAGCCAAAGAAAAAACGTCCAACCAAACAGCCCCTTTCGTGGCGCCTTCCATTCATTAATAATGACAAAAAATTAATTATTAATCCCCTCATTAATGACTCTCTCTGGAAACAGAAAAAAAACTCTCGCTGGTTAATTAATTAATAATGAATCAATTAATCCTTCCCACCTATATCCTCTAATCACCCCCGCGCTTTCTTTTCTCAAACCCACCACAATCCGGTCAACTCACGCCACGCGTCACCGCCGCGTTTGGCTCGTATAAATTTCCCCCAAACGAACCCAACCCTTTCACCAGAACTTCCAAACGCAAATTCCAACTCCCGAGAGAGAACTTATTTCCACACATTTCGCAAGCGAATCGGATACCTCACTTCAGGAAATGGTGGCGGCAGGGAATGCAATTGCCAAGCACGAGCAGTACAAGCGGGTGTTCGCCCACTTCGACGAGGACGGCGACGGGAAAATATCTGGCTCGGAGCTGCGCCGGTGCGTGGCGGCGATCGGCAGCAGCGGCGGAGGAGGAGGAGGGAGAGTAGGGGAGCTGACGGAGGAGGAGGCGGAGGCGGCGGTGGGGTTCTCTGACTCGGACGGCGACGGGCTGCTGGATTTGGAGGATTTCGTGAGGCTGGTGGAGGCAGGGGAGGAGGAGGAGCGGGTCAAGGATTTGAAGGAGGCCTTCAACATGTATGCGGCGGGAGCCGCCGCCGGGGCAGGGGACGGCGGAATGATAACGCCGAGGAGCTTGAAGAGGATGTTGAGCCGGCTGGGAATGCGGCGCAGCGCAACGGAGTGTGGGGTTATGATCGCCGAGTTCGATCTCGACGGCGACGGCGCGTTGGATTTCGACGAGTTTAAGGTCATGATGTCGTGACTTCGTTCCGTGTAAATATTGGGATTTTTTTGGGGGCATTGTGAGTGGATATAATTATTCTTTGTTCATCTTCTTTGATTGGGAAGAGACAGATAGATGTATCTAGTGGTTTATATGATTCTTTTTTATTGTTATTTCTTTCTGTCTCATTTTAATCATTGAAATATAGATTATATCAGTATCTATAACCTTATATTGCTGAATAAACTTTGATTTATTGACAATATTAGGGGTTGTTTGGAGAATATGAGTTTAAATCTGCAGATTGTCAACAATCTATAGATTCTAAATCTCCAGATTGTTGAAAACAGATTTTAAAATATTTATTGTTTGGTAATTGTGATTGTTAACATTCAATTAAAATAAAAAATTTAATTTTATATTAAATAAAATTTGTATCCTTGATAAAAAAATTAGAGTGGTTCAAGAAATATTAAAAACTTTGTTGATAGATATATTTCATGTGATAAATAAATAAAAGTAAGAGAAAAACTAGGAGAAAAAAATCTCACGAATCAAGATATAGAATCTCTCTGATTATGAGAGATTTGATATCCGCAGATTTTAGAGATTTGACGTGGCTCTGACGTGGCTCTGACGTGGCTGCCACATCAGTTATTTAGTGGGTAATGTTGAGTTAAAAGGAATAAGTTTTGACCGTCAGTTTTAACAGTCAAAATAAATTTTAGGCCAAATCTGTCCAATATTTTGAAAAGTTGGCCATAACTGTCTTATTGAAAAGTTGTGGCCAAAATCGTCACTATCGCCAAACTTCGGGCCAAAATAGGGTATTAAGCCTTTGCGATAATATCAAGAAGGATTGGATAAAAATCTAGAGCCAATACGACTTAAATTTGATCGTCCATGCCAAATAATCAGGGTTTGTATTCATTCATTTCTACAAGTAATTTGGTTAAGTTAGCTTGCTAGCCTAGATGATTACAGAAGAAATTAAACGAGAAAGACAAAGTAATTGTTACATGGGGTATTTCGAATTTTAGGGACAACTTTGTTAAGAGTTAAAGTTGAATGACCTATTTATTAATAAATCCAAAGTTAAATGGTTGTTTGTGTAACTGACCCCATAAAGTAATTTTAGAAGCTAGACAAAGCATTGCCATGATGAATCCGAATCATCCTCGCATTTACGTTGTTTCTTGTCCCCAACAAGAGTCTAGCCTTCCAATGATGGTTCCTATAAGAAATTCTTGATCAACGTAATTATTATTTATTTGCCATTGAGATGTATTGTAATTGGTAAAAAGTGATCAAGTTTCGACTTAGATACTAAGATCGTGGTTAAAATTTTGTTGGAAAATGTTGTGTTGGTTAATTAAGACTTAAGAAACAATAAGACCTTGTTTGGGTTTACTTAATATCGTACATCCCAATAAGTAGCAGACCAGGAATTTTATCTAGAGATGTTCTCTTTCAAAAATTTAATTAAAATAAGAATAAAAATTTATAAATATAATTTCTTGGAATAGAAAACATCTAAACCGTACAGGTTATAACAAAATATCATAATGTGTGTTCATATTTTGGAAAGCGACGACACAACAGTCGGTGGAGTCGAGTTTCACCATAAGGACTGAGTCAATCGGAGTCCACAGAAGAGGAAGAGGAAGGTGGTGGCACTAAAGAGTTGGAGCATAAAGGACAGAAGTAGAAGTCGACGAACAGAGGTTGACCGCTGATGGTTGGACTAGAGGTGGTATCACGAACGACTGAAAAAGAGTGTGAGAAGGGGAATAGACACTCGAAATGTTTTGTTGCATCTCTTACTTCGCTTCTTCAATATAAAAATAGTGGATAATTTGGAATTTAGTTTTAGGGTTTGGTGAAATTTTGAAGAAATTTAAATTTGTTTGGACTTTTTTTTAGCTTATAGTTACATTTATGATGTAACATACAACAAATGATTTATGGTGTAATGGATAATATGTTTTCTGACAACGGTAGTGTCATAATTTTAAATCATAGAAACTACCAACCATTTTTTCTTTTCGCCTAACGAAAACTATTACCTGCAGTCGATAATTCCCCTCACCCAATTTTAGAAGTGTATGCTTTGTGTATACCCTTGATCCCAATACAATTTTATGGTTTTGATTAAAAAATCGGTATAAACTGTCAAGTCTACAATGAGGTTTGCACATGTAAAATATACCTACTCTGTCTTTGAAGATGATTATACCAACAATGTTAATCCTATTTCTTACGGTGGAAACCTCTGAACTAAATAAATAAGAATCAAACATAATCAAATTCAATTGATTCAACGAAAAAATAATCTAATAAAATCAAATGCATTTTATGATAATTTTGGTTCTTATCTTCCCTTCATGTTTCATCTAACTCTATACCGATTCACCCCATTCTAGATCGAATTGACACCACCAGGCAGCAGTCACTCCAACCATTTCCCATATGAACACTCCTTCCTAGTTCCAAATAACCCATAAACCAAACTTCCACCCTTAACTCCAACCATTTCCCATATGAACATTCCTTCGAGTTCCAAAGGTTCACAGAAAACAAAACTATGCAAAAAGGCCTTTTTGAGCATTGGCACGTGACCACTCGTGATGGGCATTGGACTCTGCATTTTTTGCTATCACCACAAAAGATTTATTTTTCTCAATTTGATTCCATCTAGAGATCAATGCCCCCTGTTGCTTTGATATGGCCAAGAGAATGAGTCACAGTCACGAGTGTCCCTCACGTGCACTTTACAGATGTTATAAACAAATACATCCATATCAATATTGCATGATCATATACCATGAGAAAAACAAAAACTTTATTCGATCATCAACTTAGAGAGGCATGATTCAATCTGGTCAAAAATAAGTCGTGATCGAAAATATCGGAACGAAAAACGATATCAAATCAAAAGCACATCTAATCTTGAGTTTTTTTGTTTGCTTTATGAAGACACTCAGAGATCGAAACCAAAAACTAGAGAATGAAAAATCGAATTATATATGATCCGCTTTAATTCAATCTGATATGGGTTGAACATCGCTCACCCTTAAATATCATGTCCCGGGATGTTTATTTCTATAGATCATGAACATGGAGGCATGGAATGCAAGAGACAGACAACAACAACAATGGCGTGATAGGCCAAACCCCCAAAATGGGACACAACAGTCAGGTAGTAATGTACATTACTCATGAATGTGCTCTGGTGAATCTCCAGTTACCAGGCAGCTTTAACTCCCTCCACTCGATTTCTCATGAGGGATATTACTTGCGCTGGCTCAGGAGCGCCAAACACCGAGCTCCCTGCCACAATGCAGTTTGCTCCGGCTGATGCTGCTGCATCAATCGTTGATGGACCTAACCCACCATCCACCTGCAAGGACAAAGTTGATTACATTTGAGACTGAGTTAGGATCATATGGCAACAGAGAAGCAGAGGAATGATGCAATCGGGCCAAGAAAGAGAGAGTGACTGGCCTCTATATCAAGGGATGGATACTTCTGTCTCAGCCTCCGTACCTAAAACCACAGTGCAAAAAATATTGTCTCCACATCAAGGGCGGAGATAAGAGATAAGATGTTACAGTGAGGATTTATGGACTTAAGGTCACCTTGTCCATCATTTCAGGCATGAATTTCTGTCCTCCAAAACCAGGTTCCACAGTCATCACAAGGACTAAATCAACGTGATTTTCACCTTCAACCTGCAGGTTTAAATAGGAAAGAATCATAATGCATTTGTAACTCGTGTTGGTTTCTTGGAAATACATCCTAGTAAAGAAGAAATGCTTACCAGAGGATAAACCTCTTCGATGGGAGTTCCAGGTTTCAGCGACACACCAGGCTTCATGCCCTTAGCTTTTATTTTCTGAATCAGTTCATTCCAATTTTCTGCAAGAAGAAGTTATATTACTGACTACCATACAATTGAGACGGCGAAAGAGAGAAGAGGGAAAGAATCGTACGATGGAGAACAATCACCAACCTCTGGCAGCTTCAATGTGAAATGTAAATCCTGAAGCACCTGCTTTACCGAAAGACTCAACATAATCAAGAGGGTTTGTGACCATCAGGTGGCAGTCTAGGTATGCCCTGAAAGAGAACAAAAATGAAGAAGAGGATTAAGATTGTTAGCTTTTATACGTTGTTAAGAGATTGGGAAAGCCAGCATAAGGGGATAAAAGATGTTACTTGGTGTGCTTCCTCAAGCTCTCAATCACCGGAGCACCAATGGTTAAATTTGGAACAAAGTGGCTACAAGAAGATGAAAAATTTAGCACCTAGCCACTCGAAATTAGCATCAACTACCAAGAGACAGGATTTATCAGAAATTCAAATGTTTACTCAGCATGGAGAACATGAATGAGACGTAAAGGCCACTGCAGAGATTCTAAATCAAGCAAGTTCGTTACTTCCATCCCTAATACAAGCTTATGGTATGAACTGTCTAGATGAGTTAAAATTCGGCCCTTCCTCCTCACCTCATCCCTTGTCTATGCAAGTAATTATATAGGGAACAACAGGCACTAGCTAGGATAAGACTCATAATACGATCTCAACTACTCGAGTTATCAGGACAATTCATAACCAAGAATAGACCAAGTTTGATTGGAATGCAGACAAACATAAATTCCAATTTCGTGGCACAACACTGTTTCATCCGCTTGAACCCTAGCACGGACAGTCAAAGCAAAACATCGAATAACTGAACGAATTCTCCATTTCCATTCCAAGCAAGGATCTTTTTATCTTAAGGAGCAGCTCCAAGTAGAACAAAAACAAACCCAGATAAATGGACAGACAGATTGATACGGGGTGATCAACAAATTCGACACAAGAGCTTGGATGAACAGCATGGGGTAAAAAGTAGGTGAAAAGAAATTGAACCAGAAAAATGGTCATTTCCCAGACCAAGTAACTTTCCAACGTACCCATCCTGCAGAAGAGACGATGGAAACTCAATTATTTCGCGATACATAGCCGATCGTAATAGGAGAAGACGGAGACATTGAAGGAAGGAAGTAAGAAGAAGAAAGGATGTACCATGATGTCCATGTGAAGCCAATCGGCGCCGCAATCGAGCATCCGCTGAGCCTCTGTCGCCAGATTTGAGAAGTCCGAGGACAGCATCGACGGAGCAATCTTCGCCGCCGCCGCCGCCATCTAAAAATTGTTTCTCCTTTTTCTTTCTTTCCCGCCGGCGCCCGTTGAAAATGCCGCGGAGTGCGAAAGTGAAGGGAAAGCGGAGACGGCAAGCGGAAGAAAGGGCAGTAGGACTAGTCCGTTCCCGTTGACTTGTAAGACAGAGACTTTGTGGATGGACCAAAACGGCGTCATGTTCTATTCTTCTTTCTTTTCCCTCTCTCTTAGGAGGGAAATCTGTGTGAAACTATGATTTCATTTGAAGGCATGATTTGCGTGATAAATTTGGCTGTTAATTCTTTTTGTTGATAGAATGACAAATCTTCAGTTTCTTTCATCCGTTGAATTGGATAATTCTTTTTGTAGGAGTATTGTAATTCCTTCGAACTGAAATAACGAAAGTTCTAATTGGGCGACTCTCAATTATTTGATAATGTTCAGTTACTATGACGAAACAAATCAAAGTAATAAGTGTTGTATGTTACAAGAATCGTCTAGTCGTGAGCAACATCAAGAAACACACTCTTGAGTCTGGATTGGTTTCTGACTTCCTCCAATCGAGTATGCAACCTATTGGTTGGGGCACTCGACCTTCACTTTATAGGAAACAAGTCGTGGACCGAACAAACAAGATGCTAGTTGAATTAAAAGTCCAACCATCATAATCCACCCCCTTAAACTTAATTAGCTCGTGAAGATCATCACGTGCTGTTATTTAATTAACGATAAAAGATATTTTCCTTACTTGCGATTTATATACACTTCTACTTAGCGTTTATTTTAGATTACTGATTCTTCAAGAGAAAATGAAAGAAATATATTTTCACATCGTCGAGAGACTTTAAATATAATAATTTTTTAGTAATTTTTAAATATCATATTATTTCAAATAAAATATTATTTATTATATACTGAATTTTTCACTATATATACTATCACATTCACACCTCATAGAAAAAATAAAAATTTAAAAAGAAAAATACATACACGTCAAAAAAGAAATAGCTATTGGACCTAAACTACTGGGCCGCCGAAGCCCTGAATGTTCGAGTTATTGCAATTTGCAACTCAAAACTCACAACCTAGACGACGAAGTCCCCTGCGTCCTTCAGCAAAACTGCGAAAGCTTCCTTTGTCAATCCCGTCTTCAAGCCTATCTACTCTTATCCAAAGGGCCAAAACTCCCTCGCCACGCCGAGTTCCATCGATTCTCAGGCAACACAGCTTGTGTTTTGCCCTCCGACCTTGTTCCAGCTTCCTCCATCAATCCCACAAACTGTGACCTTGTTCCAGCTTCCTTCATCAATCCCACCAACGATTTCATCTCCTTCGCCGACACATCCTCTTCGTTCTGTATCCGTGAAATAGATTCGCCAATTTCCCTACGAAATCCGCGCCCCAACAAGTAATAATTCACGAATTCTATACGAAATCCTTCAGATTCGCGTTTTCGCGCTCTAAAGCGGGAGCGCCGAGCCCTGCCCCACGAATTGTGTGCATCATTCCTTGTCTCCTATCCTGCCTTCCTTTGCAAAGATGGTGAGTTCTTATCTCTGACGTGGTCATTCGTTTCTTATTTTCATGGGTTATTTCTCTGCATTCTTTATATAGTGCTGGTTTTGCGTCCCAATCGTTCTTCGCCTTCGGTTGCTTTGTTTTAATTCGTTTGGTTTGCATGCTGTTTGATGCGATTTGTCACTCTTTCCCTGTGGCTCCGCACGAGTCCTTGAATAGTTTGTGTTCTCTCCCTTTCCGTTCGAATTAGCTATTTAGACTCGATTAGTTGCGAAGTCCTCTTATCTTATGGCGAATTTGTGTGAAGGAAGAGTGTTGGAGGGAGAGTGGAGAAGATAGGTTCAGCTTTGTTGCCATGGAAGTAGCAGATAGCTGCTGCTGCTGCCGGCTTCGCCATTGCCCTTTCCATTTCCAGTTTCGATTGATGGCTTCGGATTGGATTTTTTTATCAAGTTGGCCTCCAATGTAGTTAGTTACAGTTAGATCATGGAACCTTATTAAAACTTGAAACATGGTCCTTATGGCCTTGTTATCTTCTTTCTTTTAATGTAGGCCAGGTAAATGATGAGCTTGTAATTTTTTGTTTATAATAAGGTGGTGAATTCTCCACTAACTCCCTATGAGCACATCATGGTTTAGAGGTAGGAAGCTGATAAATTTATGAGAGTAAACAGTACTCTTCTTGCAATTGTAAACGAGGGTCTAGTTTGCAGATCGTAGTTTCAAAATTTATGCTGAACTTTCTCTTCTTTCGTAGATCCCCCATATAAGGACATAAAGATAAACTTGCAAAGGTGTACTTTTTTGGAAAGATTATTTTTTGGTGCTGTAGTTGTCATTTTATCTCGTTTCATTTGTCATTGGCCATATGCTGGTAGGTCATAGCTGAATAATGTAATATTACTATGTAGTGCTTGGATTAGTGATAATTGCACTGTATGTCTGATTTGATTCTTCAGCTCTCAAATGGACCAAGCGGTTGATTTGGTAGCTTGTGGAGGTTATTGATGTCCTATGCCAATGGCAGCTGATCATTGGAGAAAACGTCTCAATGGTACAAATGTTGCTGGCTGCAGTTCCTGGGAGCAGCCCAGAGGGAAAAAGAAGAAATTTGAACCTTTAAAAAATGATTTAAATACAAAATCTCATATATCCCTTGAGTGGGACAACCACCAAAAGAGGGTTGTTGCCAAAAGGGAACAAATAGGCATACACCAGAGAGATTTGAGATCTGTTTTGCTTTCTGCTAAACCGGCAAGTCCGAATGGCATAGCCGACGTTGTTACTGTTCCTCGAGAAGTCTTTCAATTGGAGAATCTGATGGAAGTTCTCTCCCCCAAGGTATTGATAATATAATGGAATTTCATTGTTTTCTTTTCCTCAGATGACTCTCTGTGTTATTTATCATACATTTCCTATTATGCGCAAATTCACGCAGGTGTGGCAGTCTTACTTGTCAGTGAAAGAGAGAAACTTTCTTGTGAAATTTCTACCTACGGGTGTGGATGCAGAAGAAATTGTGGATGATTTACTTTCCGGGGAGAACTTCCATTTTGGAAATCCTTCTGTCAACTGGCAAGTATTGATTAGTTATCCAACCCGTTTGAGAATGAGTTTCTGTCTTATTATAGTGGTTGTTTAAGCGCTTATCTCTTGGCTCTCATTTGAGCAAATATGGTAGAATTAAGGTTTCCGTTCGGTAGAATGATCTCTGTCCTCTAGTTGATCGGCACTAGTGTGTTTCTTAACATCATTTTCTCGCCTCTTGCACTTGGTATTAGTATTTACTACTTCATCACTGGCTAGAGCCATCCATCTATTGACGTGGCAATGGAAGATTCTCTTCCTGATTCAATTTGGCAAAATTTCATTTGCATTGTGGTTATACTTCATTGCATCTTTACTTTCACCTGTCAATGTTATCTAGCAATCACTGATATTACACCACTTCGCAATTGTGTTTGTATCTTTTACTGCTTGCCCTATTCAGCCTGCTGGAACTGCTTCTCATTAATGCATACTTTTATGATAATGATTGTGGCTTAAGTTACGATATTTTGTCTCATTGTCATGTTTGCAGGAGTAGTACACTTTGTGCAGGTAATCTTCACCCTGATGTCATTCTCCGTCAGGAGCAGGCTCTTAAGACTGCTAAGAAAGCGCACTATTTAGAGATCCAGAATTACCATAATGAGTATGATAACATAGCCATAGAAATGTATTCTTTTTGTTGTGCATGTTGCTGCACACTATTTCTCAGATGTGTACTTCAACCTTTTGATGTTTGTTTTGCTAGCATGATCAAATATTTGCAAACAATGAAAGCAACATGTGAGAGGAGCAGGGATCTAGAGAAGGAGATTTTTCAGAAGACATTGCGGTAATGTTCCCTGATTTTGTGTGTTTTTAGTTGCTGGGCTAGGTTGAGCTACCCTTTGCATTAGATGTTTACACTTATCTAACTGACGTGGTAGCATGCTTGTCTTGCCATGGCTGTGCGATGTTTCTTCGTGTTAAATGACATTTCAAATTTAGGGACTTCTACTAGTTTAGACACTTGCTGTTGCAGAAGACTGCTGTATTCACTGTGCTAGATAATTAAATATGTGACTTCTAGTTTGTATGCCACACACTACTATTCATAACCTGTTCCTTTGGCAATACTAAGAATGTGACTTGTTGGGTGATGATGGCTTGGGTGTATTGGTGTAGCATTACCTAATATTTAGGAATCCCTTGTCAATTGTCATGCACTTGTACTTCTTCTTTCTTGAATGTCCTATGTTTTTTGTCTGAGCAGTTTTTTTATAGGCTCAATAACTCGGATTTACTTGGTGTTAGTTATCCATGGATTGTTCACCAAAATATATCAATTGCCTGAAAATTAAGAGCTACTTCCAGAGTTAAATTGTTATCTAGTCATTGATTATTTGGAGTACTTGGACTTTCAAATGGGTTGCGAAGGGATGCGGAGAGACCGGCGTCCTCACTTGGATATGATCATAGAGTTTTAGAGAGTGAAGAAAAGGTGGCAACATCTGAATCTTGTTCCTTGCTGGCGGAAGAGAAAGGCTGTAGCAGTGACAATCAAAATTCCTCTGTGAAGGGAGCAAAGCATCGTGAAAGGTACTTATCTATCATGTAGGAATGAGATGTATGTACTGGTAATTTGTTCATTGCTTTAGTATTTTGTATCTGGTTATCTTTAGTGCTCATTAGATGACTTGCTTTCTAATACAAATATCTATATTCTTTCTATAACTCTCCAAAACCACCAATAGCTCTCCATTGCCATCCTTGGAATACTAGCTTCAGCTTCTTCTGCCGTTCCAGAATATTAATTATTGAATATGGAATGAAAGATTTTATTGCTCATTGATTATGTTTCAGACCTTATGAGAAAGGCTCCTCGAAGGGGAATGACATAAAGCCATCAGCTGCTTTGCATGGTGCAAAATCTGGGAAGGTAGATAAGGTGCAGAAGCACAATATTCAACACACTGATGGTGCTCAATATATGTCCTACCTAAAGGTTGACATCTTCTCTATGTCTTAAATGATGTTTATATATGTGATTTTGTGAATGTCCACTCCAGTTTTATATTCATCAACTGAGTTCTTATGCTGTAATACTAAAGACACGTATAGCCAATATTGATACTTTTGGCAATTCACATTGACAATCTAGTGCTTACTCCTGTGAAATTCCAGATAAGCAAGAAGCAGCACCAACTAGTGAAGAGCATGAAGCAATCTGGCAAAAGCATTCAGTCTGAATCTCTTAGTCGTGTGTTGGGTAACCTTGATATGCTGGATGTACAACCATTTGAAGAGTTTGTAAAAGAGGAAGAGAAGAAGTTGCATGAGCATTGGTTAGTACCACCAACAGAACCCTTATATTGTGGATAGGTCTGCAATGATTCTCATGTGTAAGAATAAAATTTCTCTTATTTAGGCACCAATTGGCCGTCAAAGATTTTCCTGCAATGTATGTGAACTGGAGAGCGAGACAGTCTCAGAGACAAGAGATGATTAGGTCTTTAGGGCGAGATCTGAAACTACAATGTGAAGTAGAAGTGGAAGATGAAGAAGCTGAAGAACAAGACCGAGAAGGAGAAGACTATGATGAAGAGGAACTAGAACAAGAACGGGAACGGGAACAGGAAGAGGAATATGATGATGAGAATGAAGGTGCAAATGAAGATGATGACAAAGAAGAAGAAGAAGAAGAAAGACATAAGCAACGCCAACCACAACCAAGTGTTTCTTCACCTTACTGGGTTAATGACTTAAATGGCCATCTCGTGGAGGTTATCTACACATTGCTCTTACCTGTTTTCCAATTTTCACCTTGTGCTTGCAGATTGGAATCTCCATCTCTCGTCTCAATTATGTTATATAATCGATTGTTTGTCTTTCGGTGGGCGCTTTTGTAGGATGAGGAGAAAGAGGACATCAATGAGCATAGTAGTGGAGAGGAAAGAGAAGAAGAATCAGATGTGGAGGTCTGCTCAGGGTTCTTTTTCTCATTTATTAACCACACTCATCTCCATCTATTAATTCTCTCTCGTACGAGCATACTTTCTCATTGTTTTACCTTGAACTTGGTTTGCAGATGGGTAACATGGATAAGGAGACAGACGATGATGAGGTCATGGTTAATGATCGAAATGATTGCGAGGCAATCCTTCTGGATCAGAATGAGCAGAATGATGCTTTTCAGGATCAGAGTGATGAAGAAGCAGGCAGCCTGGAGTCGAATCCAGAAGATGATGAAGCAATACTTCTGGATCATACTAAGCAGAATGGTGTGTTCCAGGATCAAAGTGATGAAGAAGTAAGAAGTCTGGGGTCCAATCCAGAAGATGTTGAAGAAGCAAGAAGTTCTGGCTCACTCCAGTATCAGCCACCACCACCGCATATCTCTTCGTTGAGTGCACATGGTGTTGATACAGTAGATGATGTTTCAGAAAGAAATGATGGTGGAGTCTCCAAAGTAAATAATAACTCTGTGGCGGAGGACGTAATTGGTCATGGAGTTCCTATATCCTCTGGTGAGGATGTTTGGTCGGCTGTCAGCATGCCAGTGCAGTCTTATTATGACTCCACTTCAAACTACACCCATGATCAGGATTTCGTATCTACATCCTCCTTGATACACCCACATCAAGATGGTGAAGAGCAGCACACCCAGTTGATCGATTTGGGATCTCATGTCCATGAAGATACCAGGGGAGATTTGTCCCGAAGACAGTCTGATGGAGTCCCATTCGGTACTCGCCCAGAACCTGACAGAAGCGGTCTACTTCAGTCGCTGTTCAAGGGGCAGGAGACAACATTACCCTTCATTAGGGAGGAACAAAAGCTGGAAGCTTTGGATTTCCAGCCTCAGAGTGATGTCTTAATGGAAGGTGAGCAGTTTAAAAATGTACACATTCATGGACATCTTCAGCCTTCTATCCTGCTCGGGCAGGGTCAAAAGAGACAACACACGGAGGATTACATAAGACACAACTTGTCTCAAGATGTTTACTCACCAGTTAGCAGTGGTGGGTACATAATCCCAAGGCAGACACATGTCAATCTTCAAGACTGGAACCCGAGCCTTGCTGTTACCCGCCCGCCATCCCGGTTCCCACCACCAAGCCTTAATGGAGATTTGTTATTGGGTCAGAACTGGTTTCATCATGGCGAGCAGCATCAACTCCGTGGTGGAGGTTGGAATGGTTATGATGGTAGTAGTGGTAGTGCCACTAGTAATGTTCCGAGCCAGAGCATTGGGGGAACTACAGCGGATCAGACTCTGTATAGTGTTCTACCGCACTGCAATCAGTTACCGCCAAGTTATCCTCTTGATTCAATGCCGGTTTCCAGTGGGCAACTGATGACACCAAGGAACTACGGTATGGTTGGGGGTGGATTTGGTGGTCTCCCTCGGCTTGGTGGTAATATCACATTGCCGCAGGTGGGTGGCGTTGTGCATGAACATGACTACTTCTCCTCTGGGCGTGGCAGCGACCCAGTTGGGTCCTCCATGGTGATGCCAGATGAAGCTACAGGGTGGATGAATATGGGGCATAATCTTATTAGTAATAATAGTGGTAATGGTAGTAATTTTGGGTTTCTTGATCCTATGGGGAGGCCATAATTGAGGTCATGGCACCAGCAATGAGAAAGCCTGCAGCTTTGGTGGCAGAGTGTTTTGGGGGTAGGGTTTTGTACATACTTAAATACACAGAGAGTGAGACGAGTGATGAGGCGTGGCTGGAAAGCCTGTATATATATATGAATCTGCAGGTGTTTAGAGTTGGGAAGGGGGTATCGAGGCAAGACTCTTCTGATAATATTCTTTATCCTTTACTTTGGTCTTGTAGTGTTTTTCCTTTCCTTTGGAGGGTTGGTGTTCAGGGTTGGGTTGGGGCAAACAAGGATGCTAAATTTTTGGGATAGCAGCAGTTTGTCATTTTGTTAGGTCTAGTTTGGGAGGACGAGGAAATAAGAATTTGTTGATTGGGGGTGTTTAATTTATTAGCAGCAGTTCGTGTTCATGTGCTCTGTTCGAGTTAGTGGGCATGATGATTGTATGAATGGTTCCCCTGCATCTTGATGATGAGTTGAGCCGAAGGCTCTGTGCTTGGAATGTGTTGCTTGAAAGAGCATTTTTGAAGGATTGTTCATTTTGCCATCTTCTTGTAGCCATTTCGTCTCAAATCTAACCATTGGTGCTCCGGTTATTGAGAGCTTGAGGAGGCACACCATTGGTGTTTAATTTGTCACCAAAACAAATTCTTGAGTAATGTACTTTACTAGTTTACTGGTGGCTTTTGTGGCTCGTTGTGGCGGTTTGTCTCCTACCACACAATTGTTGTCTGTCTATCTCTTTCATAATTCATTCCACGCATCCATGTTCGTTATCTATAAAAAATCATCCCTCGACGTGATCATTAGTAATTATCATTACCGTACCGAATTGAATCAAAGTGGATCAAATATAATTTGATCTTTATCTTTGATTTGTGGTTTCGATATCATGGATCTTTGGAAAACGAACGACAACTGAATAAAGTCGACTTGAATGTACTTTTGATCTAGTTTAGGTTTTTGTTCATATATCTCGAGCTGAGGCTTATTATTTAAGGGAAGGTCAATGTCTCATTTAAGATTATGTTGTGAATTGACTTGTAGATGGAGTCAAATTGAAGAAAAATCATAAAAAGAGGCATATTTGCCCCTTCCATTTGTAATTAGATGGTTGGATGGAATCCATATGTAATGACCTTTTCCTCATAGCTTTGTCTTTCTATGAACCTTTGGAACTTCGAAGGAATGTTCATCGTGGGAATGGTTTGGGTGGTAGGTGTTCCCCACTTGATCCAGAATCGGGGTGAATTCGTCATGAAGGGAAAGGAAAATGTCAGGACCATATGGAAAGTGTATTTAATTTGATTTGGTTTGACTTTTATTTGTTTGGTTTAAAGAAAGCGTATTAAATTTGTTGTCAAAATCGAGGGCAATATCATTGTTATAGTCATCCTTGGAGATGTGGTTAACTATGGTAGGCATTCCATATGGTCTGTTCTATTATTTGCGTATCACTGTTTACTTTTCTATTATTAGTATGTTGTGGTGCCTTATTTTAATTTGCAGGTGCAAGAGGAGGAAGCAGATCGAGATCGATGCATGCAATTCGTAATCTTGAGTTTTATTTTGATAAGGCACATAATAATGTATATATGTACAGAGGTTTGATAAACAAAGATTAGTTTGTCTAATTAGTACCTAGACAAGGAATTTTATGTAAAATCTTGTATGGTATCCCAGATCTTCCCTTTAAACATGTAGAATATATATTTGTGAAGAATTCTAGAGACATTATAAAAGCACCAATATATTCTTATTGCACTTTGTTTTTTTTTTCTCCCCGTTATTTATTAATTTATTACCACCTCTCTTTCTAGGTTAGTTCGATTAATTCATAGCTCGATCAACCCCACTTTTATGACTTCTACCTTCTTCACTCATATTTGATTAGTTCAATGTAAAACCGACCCAACCCACTTATATATTGAGATTATTAAATTAGGGCGCTAACAAATACTTAAGGGTGTTGACACTAAACCCGGTACATATAATCATCGAATCAATACATACGAAAAAATCATTGAGCAGATAATAAACTTGCAAACACGCAATGTGAATTTGAGATTCATATACGTATATGCATGATTTTTCGGGTAAGAAGTAGCAAATTGTTTGATAATAAAAAAACTACAAGACAATCTTGTTTAGGAAAAAAGTTAAAAGTCCAGACCTCAAATTAAGAGTGTTTAGAAAAATAATTTGTTGAGTAGTTTAGTTGGAAAAAACTGGTTATTGCCACAGTTTTTTTGTTCATAAACTCTTATTAGTATTAATGTAATTGATTAGTATTATCGTAATGAATTAATTAGTAGACAACTAGTAGTGAGGCGGCAGAATTGTTATTGGTTTCACAATTCGAAAGGGATTATAATTGTAGCTTGCGGTGGGTATTTGCGGGGAGAAGGCCAAGTGGGAATCAGGTCTCAAATTCACTTTCTAGTGCATATCAGCCTACACTAGACCTAATCCTAAACCAACACATATATAAAAACAATCATTATATATACAATGTATGCACACACATAAAAAGAAGTGGGGTTACGTTGTGGAATTAAATGAGTACCACGAGTAGTAGTTGCGGAGTAAGTAACAACAGGAGAAATCACCAAGGTGAAGAAGGAGACGATGCCGACGAGCAAAGCCGACGGCGGCCATGGGCGAATATGTGTCCAGAAATCCTGCATTCCATCTACGCCAAACTGCTTCCTTCCCACCGCCACGGCACCCGCTTCGGCTCCGTTTGCGGTAACTGGCACCGAGTCCACTCCACCGCCGCGCTCGCCAGTCCCTTGCCGTTGGACTCACTCTCTTACGTCCAAATAGATGTGGCTGGTATAGATGCAAGGAATTACCAACAGCAACATGGACGGCCGATCACGGAGGAGTTTCGAAGCATTCGCCGCTCAAGGATCGTCGCAAAGGCCGGCGCGTGGTTGCTTCTTAGGGAATCAGGCGAGATCTACAGTTGTTTCAATCCTCTGCTTCGATATCCTGCGAGCTTAATCAACCTACCCGTACTGGTACGTAATGCATGCATCTTATCCTACGACCTAACTACGTACGTACATAGCTACTTAGGTTTGAGTTTAATTTATTCTAGTATTCTACCAAATTAAAGTTTGGAAAATTCAGCCATTCAGGGTATACAGGGAGGGAATACACTTATTCACATGATATTGCTTGTGCGAATTGTGCGATCTCTCGTTTGATATATATATATACGTGCACTTATTTATGCAGACGATGCATTATTGTACGTACCCCAACCCGAGACCCATCAAGGCTGCCTTCTCGGCACTGCCTACGGCTCGCGACTGGATGATTCTGGTGGTGTATGGCACTCGTTACTTCAGCACGCTTCGTCGTGGCAACTGGTTCTGGAGGACATATGATTTCTCCCAAAATGGAGAAAGGGCACAGATCTGCCTTGGCGTTGCATATAAAGATGGCAAATTCTTTTGTTTGTTTGAAAAGGGTGACATGTTGACGAACAAGGGATTGGTCTAGTGGTAATACCACTAGCCATGAACCTGGAGGTCCCAGGTTCGAGTCTCTTCAGTAGTACCTAATAACAAAAAAAAGTAACATATATCACCCTTATCTAAAAAAGTAAAGGGTGACATGTTGATTTACAATATTGACAGGAACCTCCACAAGAGAGGGAGGAGGAGGATGTTGGCCGCGACAAAACCTTTGCTACCTGAGCAACTCGATCACCTTGAGAGCTTAGATGTCGTGGTGGCACCAACAACAATGACGGAGAGTACTGCTCGAGATTGTCAACTTGAGGAAGTAGGAGGGGAGGTAGAAGTTATGGTGGTTAGTTGGGAACGAGATCTTTGGGAGAGGGGAAAGAACAACTTCCGGCTACTGAAATTGGAGAGGAAAACTATGGTGTTGACCGACCTATTGAGTTATGATGTTGATGAGGATGATCAGGAAGCGGTATCCTTGGAGGAAGGAGAGATCAACAACAAAAGAGTGATTTTAGTGAAAGATGAGCTTCCCTTGAAGACCAAGAACTTTGAAGGTCTTTGCCATTGCGTATTGCTTTTTATTTTTGCAATATTGTTCACTATGTTTATTAGGTTGATTACATTTTGGTCTTTCAAATTACCATTGTCCAATTTCTTCTAGGTCATCCATAACATTTGTTGGGGCGAGAAATATGTCCAATTCTTCAAATCAACCTAGTTATAAACCTAAACATTGTATTATGTAGGTCTGCCCTAACATGTGTTGAGGAGGGATATATGTCCTTTTTTTCTTGTAGCCAGCATTCCACGAAATTCGCTGTATCAAGCTGGAGTTCGACTTTCTTATATCTCATCAGAGGAGCGCAATGTCCATGGGTAAGAGAAATATGTTCAATTCTTCGGGGTTCCATGTCTAATATACGATGAAGTCTCTTCTCGTGTCTATGGCATCCAATTTTGGCTACGTATGCAAGAATTTGTATGAAGTACACTTAAATGCGAACCTGACATTCTATTGAGACGTTATCTATTAAAATAAAAAATAACAATATTTTATTTCTATAAAGAAAAGATCTTTAAATCAACTCGTTTCTCTCGCCCCGACTTTGCATAGCGCACACTACTACGAACTTTTTTATTCATGGCCATTCGAAGCCAACCTTTGACATTTGCGTCGCATCGAGTCCATGCTCGCAACTCTGAAACTTTCTCTGGCTTAGGAATCGTGTCGTCAACAAAGCCAAACTTGTTTTTGACAATCAAGCCTACTTGCAGCTGACTGTTACTCTCCGAAGGATGTAGCTAGGTATTAGATCGAGGACTGGTCGATATCACCATCGACAAGGCCTTTTCCTGAGCTCCCGCTAGAGCCGAAGGACACGAACGTCTTCGTGTCTTTCGTGTTCACCATGACTGCGAGAAGACAATGTTACTGTTGGACCTGTTGCTCTGGTACCATGAGAAATATAAGCAAATAAAGAAAATGAGATACGATCTTTTACGTGATATCCCCGATTTGACGATGAAGACTAATAATCCATGGGAGAGTTCAGCCTCTCTCCGACTTTGAAGTATGACAATTACACTGAGCAGAGGGAATGGGCTGCTCGGGTCTGGGCCGGGACGTCGATACATGGCCTAATAAAGATTATCACTTTTCTGTGATAATTGGTCGATCGATTTCCCCAGAGAACTTACCCTTTCATTGGCCACAAAAACTTCCTGCATTGGCCACAAAAACTTCCCCAATCATCCCTATCACTTCGCCTTGGTTCCCGATTTACAACATCAAACCCTACCTATACCTTCATCTTCTTCACTATCGATGACTACTCAAAAAGAGACCGGTATCCTATGGAGTAGGAGTAATTCCTCTTCCCTATTGCGACCAATAATCAGTCTTGCAAACCTATCTAAAGTAAACAACCCTTCGGTTTGTTCCGACTTCAAATAAAGCTTCACCTTGAAAGGAAAGGGATAGGGCATTTCGTTCACTTCTGTCAACTTCATGCACTCATGATCACCTTTGATGCAATTAATGATATTCAAGAATTTACAATTGCAACTATGGTGAACTCAAATGAGCAATGGGTCTAACGCCAGAAAGCAGTGGGGTCTGTCGCTGCCCTAGATCTCGCAGCGATTCGAATCCCTCGTTTCGTTCGCGGTTGACTCTTCCCCCG